AACAGTGTAATTAAATGTCCAAGTCATCTTCTTCACTATCTTTGCATGACCAGATGAGCCTCAGTCCATCAGCTCAAATAGAGGATCATCTATTTTTATGAATTGTTTCTCCATGAGAGGACAACAAATCCTGATCTGATATGCAGCATCTGTCTGCAGGCTAAAACAGAGCAGAATAAATCATTTTTAAATTACATAAATTGTTTTCCATGCTGAACACTTTGAGGACATATCATGCTCAAACTGACTTTTGTTTAGTCAAAACTTAGAAATGAACATCTTTCATTGTCATTATTTTGACTATTCATTGAAGATCCTGCTTTTGTGTCTAAAACAGTCTGTGTGGCGCCCCCCGATGTTTAAAAACTGTACAGCATCTGATTTTGAATCACTACACATATTGCGATATCCTGCAGAAGGACTGATGTCAGGAGCTCAGCTACTGTGGGGAATGAAGGCAGCTCTGTCTCCTGCATTCCTCTGTATCCTGTAGGGATAGGAATAATGAGATTTCTGATCTTTTTATCGATTTTCAGGTTAGAAATGTATTAGCCTAGACTTCAGTAAATTTATTTAGCATTCATTGACTTTCCTGACGACAGCCAGCTTTCATCCCCTGTTTACTGGTCCTCCTTTAAACGAAGTATTGTTATACTAGTGGTTTAAGATGTGTCTTTAAATTAAAACAAACAGGAAGACTTTTTTTCTGAAAGCTTTTTTCAAACATAATTAACTGCTGAAGGAAATAATCTATCAGTATCAAGAAGAAGTTATACAGTAATGTTCAGTTTTAACTGCTAGTGAGTTAAATGGTGCAAAGTTAATCTAATGGTGACAATGCTTTCAGTTCAGCTGATGCGTATTCTTCAGTGATTTGGATTGGTAACAGTGAGTAAAATCTCAAAAAAAAAAAAAAATGATAACAAAGGGATTGGCAAAAATATGCTCTGATACTGCAGTTCCCTTTTTTTTAAATAATACATCTATCCCACTACCTTTAAGCATAACATCTTGACTTTTTGTTTTTACTGATTAGCAAGAACCATTAATTTCCTTTTTACTGTTATGAACACTTATTAGTATTAGATCTCTTAAATTAACCAAAAACAGTACATTTTCATCTTAAGCAGGAGCCCAGTCAGGATGCTCTTATAAATCCAGGATAAAAATATGCCTGCTAAGCCAAAGAAGGATACTTCTCAGAAGAATGGCGAAAAAAAACAAGAAGGCAAAGCAAAAAGTTTAGAGAAAATTTGCTTTTTTGGTACCTACTTTGGTGTGATCTTAAAGACAGACTAAAGTTTGCTTTAATTTGACAAACTGTTTCATAATTTGCAGCAGGATTTAGTGTCTGACTATGGATCAGTTTTTGTCACAGCCCAGAATCTGTATTATTATCATCAATATCTATAAAATTTAAATAAGATAGAGAAGCTGGATTACAAAGTGGATATTTGTTTCTTAGAAGACTAATTAGAGTTTATGCAGAAGCAAAGTCCCTGCTAAGATGAGGGCTCTTCTGCTCATCTGCAAGCTAAGTTCATCAGATCTGAACAAAAACCAAACCTATGTCAGGACTCAACTACAAGTTACAAGATATAGATTGTAATACACCCCTGATTCAAGAACAGCTAAAGTAAGAAAAGTTTTTTTTTTCAAATGTTTTCCTCTCATGCTGTCAATAATACTGACAAACCTGTTGATTCGGGCAAAACGTGTTGGCAGTGAGGCATCCAGGCGTGCAGATGCCAAAGTAGCAGCGGCACCTTGAGCCAATGCAACTGTGGACAGAGGATTGTGGCTTGTGCTGCCTCCGGTTAAGCTCCGCCCACTTCCAGATGCAGCCCTCTGACTGGCTGAGGGTTTGAAATGGGCTGCCAGGGCCAGAATGATCCTCATTACAGGTTTCAGGTTGCCATCGATGATGTCTAAAAAACCCAAAGCAAAAGGTGTGATGATAGATAATTCCCTTTCAAAATGTTTAATAAATGATAAAAAAATGGGTATGTTTTTAAACTGTCACATGCTGTCTGACTATAAAGCCTGATCAGAAGATACAGTTTGAGTTTCAGCAGAAAAAGCAAGTTTCTACGAGTCTACCGGCACGCTAGAATGATAATAAGCAATGAGTTCATTATAATAACTAATCTATCAGTATACAGAGAAGGTAGTGTGCCGAACAAAGCAGAGAGGAGACGTGCAAGGTGAGATCATTTTAGCAGTTTAAATTTATCTCTGACAAGTCTATGACTAAAACTAACTGTTGCTGAGATTAGATCTGAAAATCGTAGTTTATTAATGTAACACACTTTTGAAATGGAAAGAAGAGTGTAATAAAAATAAATTCTGGTGGTTTACCTTTTGCAGATATATGCGGCATTCGTATGTTTCTGGAGGAAATGAACTGCAAGACTTCCTCCACATTTTTTTTGCTTTCCTCTTTGTTCAGCGGAGGAATGTAGACTCCTTGCAGGACCTCACCAGCTGCCAAAAGAAAAAAAGCATACAGTACTGGAGAATTGTAGCATTGCTGCCTTGCAGCAAGAAGGTTCTGGGTTCAATTCCTGGCACGGAGTCTGTCTGCATGGAGTTTGCATGTTCTCCCTGAGCATGTATGGGTTCTCTCCGGGTACTCTGGCTTCCTTCCACAGTCAAAAAACGTGACTGTTAGGTTAATTGTTTTCTCTAAATTCTCCTTAGGTCAGTGTGTGTATGAATGGTTGTTTGCCCTGCGATGGACTGTCGACCTGTCCAGGGTGTTCCCTGCCTCTCGCCTGTAGACAGCTGGAGACAGGCACCAGCACCCTCGCAACACCACTTGGGATAAGCGTGACGGAAAATGGATGCATGGATGGACTGATAACCCAATCAGGATTCTTTATTCATTTACCCATCCCAGTGTATTTAGAAAAGGCATTTGCTAAAGGCTTCTGCTACTGATGTTTTCTTGCAGAACAGGTTGCAAAGTGCCTGGCTAAAGGTCTCAAACTCCAGATCCAAGGAGCTGTTTTCTAGGAACGTTTTGCTGTATCGTTGCTCCAAAACAACTGACTCAAACAGCTGGGTTGCCTCCTCAGGATGTCATCTAGTTTTGTAGCCACAGTGATACAGTAAGCCATTTATTGCATTTTATGTTATCATCTGAAGTCCAGTCACTCTTATACTAAAGTCATTATAAAGGCAGAAATTCATCCTGATTGATCACATCATCATAATTATATGTGTGAAAATTATTTAGCTATTGGAGACCCGCATAGAAAACAGACCATGATTTTTTTGGTAAATAGTTTTAAAAGCAGCACTTGGGATGTCCTATGAATATAATTATAAGTTTAGTTTAGTCAGGGCTTATTAACACTTTATTTACACTGATTATTTAAGAATAATTTAAGAAAGACTATTATATTACATTTAAAATTTTAAATATAAAAATAAACTTATCTGAGATACAGTGCCCAAAAAAAAGGAAATGAGGTTTACTAAAGCATCTGTACATACCTTTTCCAATAGAGTTACTTTAACAAGTGGTACATTGGCGTGTGTGTAAATCATGTGTGTGTATATTTACCAACAATTTCTATCAGTTGCACAAGAACAACACCATCCTGCAGATCATGTCTGAGGTCTGCAATGGGCTGCAGGCCTGGCTTCCTCTTCAGCTGAGAGTTCACCCAGGAAACATATGCTGCCAGCTGCTGCTGCAGGTCGTCCATCACACACCGCAGACAGACACATACACAGATGCAGGGCTTAGTGATTTGGGCCACAGGAAGCTCAGACAAATAAGAGCCTTTGTTGCTTATGTTAGGACGGGACAGAGGGAGGGAGGTCAGCCTATTGTCCCAGTATCCTTTAGTAACAACTTTGCTTTCGCTCCCTCATATCGCTCCACTCCACCAATTTAATCACTACTGATTATCTCACATAGTAGCTTATCGTAACCTGGATAAACCACAAAGAAGGTAGACATTTTAAACATAGCAGCGGTAATTTGAAGTTGGGGTTCCGGTGGAATTTAGCTTCATTGGCTACAGGGTGAGGAGATGTAGCTTATAAACTATACTCAACTTTAGTTCAACTCATAAACTTACTAAAAACGCATTTTTTAACCGAAAGTTTACTAGTTGAACAATTCTATATTTCTAAAAACGAGACACCTTTTCATTTCTAGCACTAAGTAAAGCTCACGCGATTTTCAGGCTAGCTAACAGGTTATCAGATAATTTACCGGACGGACAGACGGCAGTAACGATGGTTACTGAGCGTTACCTCATTGTACCCTCCATGGAGAACCTCGTCCAGCAAACTTCCTCTTGAGAGTGAAGCGATCATCTTTTATCCAGAAACTCCATTTAAGACAGCTAGCCGGCTAGCTGTCACAGCAGGAGCCTGAACAACGGGCGGACCCCCGTTACTAACCACTGCTGGACTCAAACAAACGTCAGACAATTGATGGCTCTGAGCAGGCTACCGTTACTCTGGACAGCAGACCATTTGTCAAGGCAGCCATTATTGAAATACAACTGTATCCGGTGGCACTTCACAATAAAATACCTGATCGGAAATCATATTCTAAAAGTTTGGGGATGTACTTTATTTCTATAGTTTTAAAATATAAATACAGATTAACTTTATTTTTGAAAGAGTAGAGCTGGTTTAACTGAAAGGGCTTCCTTTCTCCACTAAACATTCATGCTCCCTTAAAACACCTAATCTCAGAATTCTGACTTTAGTCTCAGAATTCGGACTTTTTTCTCAGAATTTCTGAATTTAATCTCACAATTTCTGACTTTTTTCTTAGAATTCTCAATTTAATCTCAGAATTCTGATTTTTTTTCTCAGAATTTCTGACTTTAATCTTAGAATTAAAAATACAAAATCGTTAAGGGGAAAAAATATTGTAGAAATTAACAATTTAAGAGGGAAATAGATATGAAGAAAATCCCAGAGTAAAAAAAAACACACACATCAAAATGTGTTAAATACTCATGTTTCTAAATCTTGCAAAAAATTGTAAAGACTTCATATAAGAATGGTTACAGTTTAAATTTCTTTATTATGGCTTTTATTTTCTCTTAAATGTTCCAGCATACAAGAAACAACGTTCAAAATATAACTGTATTGTGGCAATTCAGTACTAAACTAATGCTATGATAAAATACTGTTTAACTTCTACTGCCAAGCAAATACTTCCTGCTTCTTCAATTGACAAGAAATCTAGTGGAAATCATGCTATTAATAAGATGCTATTGCTCAGAGTGGAAACTGCTTGAGAATTTGTTCCTGTTTTGTTGGACCAGTGAAAACTCTTCCTAGGAGTGAATAGTGATGGCTGGACAGTTGCTTTCAAGGTACAGGACCACCTGTAACAAAGGACATAAGGCAAATATTTAGCAATTTGTTTCTTGACAGCTAACTCTACACCTATACAGCTTTATATGTTGTAGTTTCAGACAGCTTTACCTAAAGCTGCCAAATACAAGGGGGATTCATAGTTACTAGTGAATAAGGGTAAGTAAGCAGGATGTTTGGTTGATGACTTTAGTAAAGCCGCTAGATAGATCTGGTTGTCAATTTGTAAGGAAACGTTTTGAGCATCCTTGCCTTGTGCTACTTGATTTCATAGCAACCAAACAGTTTTTACCACAAAGCCAATTAAAACAAATAAAGTTATCTTCAGTTAGCATCATTATAAACGAAGACTAAATTGGGAACTATTTGTCTAAGAGAAAAAAAAATTTCAAAGGTTTTTCAGATGGTGGGGTAATATTTGACCTTTATCACTGTACATACATCAATAATAAACTATTTATTTATTTTTTATATTTCATGGCTATACTGAAATAATTATTCCTGGTAAATCTGAAGACATTATAGACAGGTAGGATATAATCCATCAAAAGATTTTGGAGTTACTTTAAGATTAATATTTTCTAGAATTCATTTTGATAATTCAAATAATTATTGTTGGATAATTTAAATACTTGTTTGAAAATAACCATATTTATATACAACAAATGTTTAAAATCAGACACTTAACCAGATGTTTTCCTAATTTAGCAGTAAATTAAACTGTATATATATCCCATGCAAAAAAAAAGTATTTTCCGTCACTTCGTTAACACTACAAATCCTAGAGTGTGTAATATGCATTAGGAGTCACATTAGAAATTGATTTTCTAAAAGGGGAGATTCTCAGACATTTTTTTCATAAAATAGTTCAATTGATCGATTGATTGACTTTAAGAAGAATGTTCCAAAGGAAGAAATAGGTGCATGGGATATATACAGTATATACAGTGCGTCCATATATGACAGCTTTTTTTATTTTATTTTTATTTTATAGTAGGGTTATTACATAGGGTTATTGCACAGGGTGATTACATGGGTATTTATATAGATGGATAGTTATATATATAGTTATTTCACTGGATGTAACAAATAATTCCCTGCCTTTAGCCTGTGCATGTAGAAACATTATTTACCAATTTGCCCATTGATTCTGTTCAGCATGCTGAGGAAAGGAAGGTAGATATTTCTTGGTCCAGGTGGAGAGAATTTCATATTTCCATCAATTGATGTTAAATTTTGACCCAAAAGGAAAAGCTGTAACAGATAGTTAAAGTTTTAAAGATTAATTTCATGTATTTCCTTCTTGTCAGGAAACTGGTAGGATGTAAATGTAGATAGTATAAGTCTGGTCTCATCGTAGGTCTACCTGTTTTTCCAGGAGTTTCCTTGTCAGCTGGAGAAGTGTTGAACTCCTATTATTTTTTAGGTCACTGAACAGCAAAGTGGCTTGAGCCAGAGTCAGAACAGACCAAGGTGGCATACAGGCTCGTTCTAACAGCAAATTCACCGCTTTCTGAACAGCAGGTATGAACAAAGGGAGAACAATAGTTATTAGGAGTAACTGCAACATCTAATTTCTAAAGTATTTCTGAATTAAATTCCAATTAAATATATCAGAGAAATACAAAGTTCCTTACTGCCAGCAATTACATGGGTATTTAAGGGCATTAAAATTGAATGACAGTGATATCTTCCAAATGATTAATGTTTTTATTTGAACTCTTTCTCTAACACATATGTACATTCTAATAATTTGGTCATCAATAATGGAAATTGGTTAAAAGGAATAGTATAAAATCATCAACAGTTACAAAGAAATATACTATTTATTTATAATATGGATCCCCTTTAGCTGCCACAAGTTTGAGAGCGACTCTTACTGGGGTCCTTTCTGCAAACCATTTACTTCAATGACTGCAATACATTTGCAAATAATAATAAAAAAAAATAATGGTATCTATCCACCTAAAATGCTGCTACGGTATATTATTCATCTCATGTCTAAAATTTTAAATGCAACATGTGAATGAATAAAAATCACTAAAAAAGGGGGTGCTCATTCTTGTGTTTGTACCTGCAATGTCGCCATGCTCTCATCTGTCCTTCCTATCTGTGCTTCCAATTCTGCAGCTTGCACCATCAACTGTGCTTGGATATCTCGGTCTCCCCATTGAACACATTCATCCACTCCCTCCTGTATCAGTACAGCTAGGTCTTCATTAATGTTCTTACCTTAAAAGTCAAATAAAAAAATTCATTAATGCTTGCCTCCTGTGGGACGTCATCTAGTTTTGTACCCAGTGATACAATAAGCCAATAAGCCATCAAATAACCCCCTAATTCACAGGCTGCTATTATACTGAGGACTGCATCCCATTACAGTGTAGTAAAATTAAAATCTTCTAAAAAAAAAAAAAGCCAGATTAATATATCTGTTTGCTAGTCAGCCTGACAATGTTAATATATATGATTAGTAAAATATGGAGTCCTGGAATATAGGGAAAAGAAGCCAACAAACTTGTAAGACCTGGAAAAAGAGTTGCCATGCTAGGGAGGCTAGCAGTCAGGCTGTGGATCAGAGCCAGCCGGCAGCGCAGCCAAAGCAAAGCTCCTGTTCTCTCACGAGCTTCAACAGCCCTGGGACTGTCTTCATCCAGGATCTTTGACACACTGCAGTCTTTGGCGTCCTTAAGGCAAGATATAAAACAGACAAACACAGTGCAGTGCTATATGGGCAACTGGAATGAAAATACTCTGAGATGGTTGATAGAACAAATCGTATACATTTGGCATCAAGACTTAGGTAGAAAGAACAACATATGTTCATGCAATCAACAGTGAGGAACAAATGTAAATAAAAAAAAGGAAGGATTGTAAACTGTAATCATGAAACAGAAAGATAGAAGTGAAACAGAAGTGACAATGATGTGGCTTTTCCCATTTGATATTATTAACATATTGATCACAATAAAATCCTTAATAATAATTTTACATTATATTATTTTTCCCAGATATTGCAGTATTGTACTTAGCTTCACAAAGACTGAGTGTCAGAGAATATAACTTACTGTTCATATAGAACACTAAAGTCAGACACAATAATCAGGGAGGCAGAGGTTAGAGGTTCTGAATAAATAAGTCATGTTGGATAAAAATTGAGGGAAGCAAAAACAAACAACGATTCACCATGAAGAAAACGAAGCAGGGAGACAGAAGCAGAATCTAGAAACAATGACAGCAAACCTAAACAATATTGTGTTAAAACTTTACCTTACATATTTTATTTAACCATTAATGGACAGAAGAAGCAATGCATAAAAGGTATTTCAGTGGTAAAATTTCCCCATTTTATTACAGGCTGGTACAATCATAGAGAAGACTGGAAACCATGTTAAATTCTTCCTGTTAAATCTGTATTTTCAAGCGACCAAATATATTAAAACATTTATAAGTTTATCACACATTTCTCTTTGATAAATCTTTTTTAATTGGGAAAAAGCAATAAGTTCAGCAAACCTTATTCTCGGCCCTGGTGAAAGGTGAATTATGTACTGGACAATAAAAACAGAAACCACAGACAAATGCATGTGACTTGGTACCTGCTCACTCCCAGGAGGGGATGGTCTCACAATGACTGGAGATGTCTGCAGCAACACCAAAGAGGAAACTGCAATCTCAGAGCTAAGAGGGGAACAATCAGAAATGGCAACTTAGAACACTTATACACAGGATGTAAACAGACAGCATTGGCTTTAATCTGCCTTGAGGTCTAAGTACCTAAGTGCAAAGTTTCCTTGCTGCAGGAAGAGGTTGGCTTTAAGAAGGTTAAACTCCAAAGTCAGCTCCAGGTTCTCGGCCTCACTGCAGTGATGAGAAGTGAACTGCTGCATAGCAGAGGACAACAAGGTGGAGGCTCCTTCCAATAAAAGACACTATGTGAGGGGAAATGACATATTTTCACACATGGGCCAACTTTTCCACAGAATCTGTTTCAGATAGGAGTAAGAACAGAAATGAAAAGCAGCAGAAACCCAACAACAATTTCTTCTGAGATAAAACCTCTTTACTGCATGGAATTTAAAAAAATAAAACATAACACATTTTTCCATCTCAGTCTTACTTGGATACTTTCTGGAGATAGCTTCTCTTTCTCATTACAAAGAAAGATCTCTGCTTTTGGGCTGGATCCCTCTCTCTCTCGTTTCTCCTGCTCATCACACTCTCTATCCACTTCTTTATTATTGGTGTCATCACAACTTTCTTCACTACCTGTAAGACAATTTATCTTTATGAAAGAGAAAACCTTTCCATTTACCTCAGTAGTAATGGTTTATTGCACAAAATTCTCTTTAAGCTGCGCTATTATTTTCTTTTGTAAACACAATGATAACACATGAAATTAAGTTATGAGAAAAGAGCTTCTTGCTTACAGACCTGACACAGAGCTGCCAGGTTCAGACTTGGTGATAGCTAAGATCAGCTGAATACGAGCCAGTTGGAACCTGGAGCATAGAGTCGGACCATATAATTTGCAGACCTCTGAAGTGATGTCACAGTTCATAAGGTCTTCCAAGGCCTATTTATAAGAATCACATAAAAAAATATAGATGAGATTCAAAGATAACCATTTCAGTTTACATTAAATCATCAGCGTTCATTTTATTTCTTCTATTTTTTTTTGGATTGAAAGCATTTCTTCTTGCATTTGAACCATACAACTTCCATAGATGTTATTGTAAAAAACAACATCTGGATGCAAACATTTAAAGGTATTTATTCTCTTAGTACAAACAGGGACATGATGTTGCATACACACTAAAATGATTAGATAAGCACTTAAATATAGAAAAAATGTGTTTTAGCAAGTTTGAGGGAAGCTATACAGCTCTGTAGTAATCAACAATGTACTGGCATATTTCTGACTGGATTACTGATCACTACAATTGATCTAAACTGGGCGGTTTCCTAGCATGGATCTCCTTTAAAAACAGCTTCCATTTAATTAGGTAGGCTAAGGCCAGGGTTTGTCATTTATTTCTACACCAGTTCTGATGTGTGTTTTGGATAATTTTCTGTTTAGAAAGCCAGTGAAAGAAAGCACTGCTTGAAAATCAACATATGTTAACATATATAGCTCAAGCTTGAACAGTTAAATCATCGGACAGGATAAAAAAAAAGCAGTTTGAGACAAAATTCACAATAGGAATGTAGAAGAGTTTTGAAGCTCAGAGGGATGGTGGTGATAGCATCATGCTGTGGGGCTTTTTCCCTTCTCTACATTCTAAATCAACAGCTTAAACTACAAAGATCAAAAATATATCAACTCTAATTTTTGAGTGGATAAAACCAACGACATAAGGCTACTGGAATGGAAATGTAAGAAATATTACCTAAATATCAGGCACATGCAAACATAGTACACCGGTCAGAATGATGCCAGAATCTTTTTGATGGCTACCAAAGAATTATGGATTCTTAACAAGACAAAAATGTAACTGAAGGTGCATCGATATTTTTGAGGCTTTACAAATAACTGAACTAGCATAGAGAAAATAAAGAAATTCTGCATGCTGCATCGTAATTACATCCTGAACTATATCAATACGAGCCACAAATCAATAATAACACAGATTATAGGTGTATGTCAAGCTTGGCCCTGAGTTTCTAGATAAAAATGAATTAAAGTATAAATTAATTGAAACTATTTGGTAAAGTAATGTTATACAGAGTTATTAATTTACCTCCAGATTATCAGGAAGAGATTTGTTGCTGCAGAATTTTCTCACAGGCTGTTCAATAAACACAAATCATATTCAAATGAAATAAAAACATATCATTCAAATCCTTACAAAGTTTAGTCATCATGAGCACACTTATCCATTAGAGAATGAGAAGGTAGCTTGAAGGAAAATCTAAAAAAAACATGTGTTTGAAATGGGTTCGACAAAAGAATAAATACTTGTAGATATTTTTTGGGAAAGTAGAGTCCTGATGGAAGCATCAGATCTGCTCCTTGAAAGAGCTGCACAGCTTCTGTGATGGCTTCAGTAAACATGCACAACTCTGTGAGAGCTCGAACCTGCAGAAACAAAACAGCCACATCAGAGCTGCATGTGTGGAAAAATAATATATCATGTTTGAACAGCAGATAATGTCAAGGGTTTCTATTAAAGTCTTTTTTTGTGTGTTTGTTCATGTTGTCTGAATTCAGTGTTGACTCGCTCTCTCCTTAAACTGATAGAATGAATAGGTTTGCTTTCAGTTTAGCTAAGCTAATATAAATCTCTAGAAACTACAGATTGCTTTAACATTGCTCAGCTAATTCCTCACCGTGTCACTATCTGGTGAAAAATAAAAACTCTTATCATTCTGACCTTTAGAATCTTGGCTTCAGCTGTGCGTTGTACATCTCTGCACACAGGCCCCACTAAGTGGATGTAAAGAGCCAGTATGGGTAGAAGCTGAAACAACAGTTTACCAGTTACGTTTTTTATGCAAGAATTAAAATTTTAATTAAGGACACCTGGAGGTAAATACCGTTAAGTAGTAGCCTGTGGTAAAAAGCCAATAGCAAAGAAAGTGAAGACTTGTCACTGTGGTGTCAATTTGAAGCCTGTGGGGCTCAGAAAAAAGGTTGACGCCAGGAAACAGTTCATCCCCAAAGGTGTAGGAGGCATACTGAATATTAGATTGAGGGTGAGCCAAGGAACAATCCAGCACACTCTGAAGAGGAAAAGGAGACATAAATAATCATAAACTAATATCCTGGAAAAAATTGAGTACCTTCCAAAATGTCCACACCTCTTAGTTTTTCCACATTACAACTACAAACTTCCAAAAAAGTTAAAAAACAATCCACTGGACTTTCATACGTTTTGAAGACATTTCGCTTCCCATCCAGGAATCTTTTTCAATTTAAAATGTCAGAAATAGCATTGAGATTTTGTTAAATTGTTTGAGATTTTACCAAGTGGACCACAAACAAAGCCTTGTTTTGGCTTAGAAAATATGCATATTGAAGCGGAAGAATAGTTCTGACCCTTAGGAATGGGCTGCCATTTGGGTTCTTTATTAGCCTGCAATACCCGATGCTGGTCTATGTCTCTGAAAGGGGGGTGGAGGGGTAGTTAGGGGGAATTTGTTGGCCTGGCTGAACAGGTGAGGTCAGGTATGGGGGTTGCAATGATAGCTTGAAGGAATCAACTCTGTTGCTGCCTCGTAACTTTTAGAAAGCTGAAACCTGAGTCCACCCCCTCTGTTTAAGATTGTTTTTTCTTTTTTAACGTAGATGGCTTCCTTCATATCCCTCTCAAACCACCTGTTTTCCTCTGGAGGAGTCTGTTCTTTGTCCAAAATATTCACATTACGGACAAAGAAGAGCTAACTCCTCCCGACGAGACTCGCGGTACATCTACTCCTTATGGACAAAGGACAACCCAAAAGGAAAGCAGAATATTCACATTTTGGACAAACAAGACAGGTGGACAAGATGTCTTCAAACTTGGAAACAAAGTCCAGTGCATTGTTTTTAACTTTTTTGTAATGACTATGAGGTCATACATCTCTGCAGTATAATTGCAATAACCCAAGTCAACTACTTTGCAGTCTTCCCTTAGCTCTCTACTGTGCACATATTTATATATCTAAGAGAAATATATTCCAGAACATTACAACTTTTTTCTTTTTTTAATGCTTTTTATATTGTCTGTTGTACTTTCATCTTTAATGGAAGCTTGCTTTAACTCTTTGTACTCTCTGTACTGACTGAGAATCTTCACCAGCAAACAGCTATAAATGTAACCATCAGGTAGATTACCTTAAAGAAATGAGCAGACAGCAGACAGCAATTGGTGCGCTCACCGATATCAGAGGTTAAAACAAACCTGCAAAACAAAACAAACGCCTTAGTGGCAGCCTAACAGCGAATGCTTGCAAGACACTAAAATGTGTGTCAAACTAAAAATCCAACCTACTGTGCTATCTTTGCAGTGAGCACAGCGCCTTGCAAACATCCCCATATACCAGCTCGCTTTACAGCATCTTGCAAGGAGGTGCTCTGAAAGGAAACCCCGTCCCATTTCTGAATGACACCAGAGCTCTGGAAGGCCCGGTCTACAGCTTTACTCCAGCAGGAGTGTGCAGCACTAAAAGCAGGACAACACAAGTGGAGCTGAAATTATGATGAGCGTAAAAGAGATCATGACACAAAAAAATGCACAGATTGTTTCTTACTCAACTGTCACATAGAAGATGGTGGTATTGATGTGCAAACGACAAGATAAGCAGATGGGTAGTAACTAGTTACATAACTAGTACAGAACAACGGTTGCTTGTTTTTTTCTACATATGACATTATTTGATGTGCTGACCTTGATGAAATAAATGTACTCAAATAAATTTACTCAGTTGAATTTACTTGTCTGATTTTTAAGAGGCATGTACTTTAAGGAGTAGTTTTTCTATATTGTACTTTTTACTTTTGAGTGAAAATAAAATGAGCAGTCACTACTCTTACTTGAGTAAAATGTATGGCAATCCTACCCATCATAAATTGTTTTTCTCAGTGAAGAACAGCTTTGTTTTAAATAAATATGCACCAGAGAGACAAACACCTGCAGTTAATGTCTAAGTGTGACTTTGTTTTCACTCCAGCTTCTTAGATTTAAAGGTATTTTCTATTTGCTGATCCTGTCGTGTCATTTGGAGGTCCACTGGAAACATAGCAAACATACTACCGGTATATCATGTTAGAGGAAGTTACTTACCATATTCTCACCTACAGGCATAGAATACTTCTAATAATGATGTCAGAGTTTTTATAGCAAAAAATATCTTGCCTACAAATATCTATATCTACATATAAATGTATAATTTTTAAAAATGGCTAATAACTATATATTTTGTAAATATACATTACTTTTTAAAACATTAAATCAGATTTAGCCATTTTCCCCAATTACTTTTTTTCTCTTACTTATGACAAGTTTTACAAAATTTACTGGATGGCTGCTTTTTCCTTCTACTTGAGGAAAAATATTATTAAGTAGAACTACACTTAGTACAATTTTTTGGCACCCTACACACCTCTGAGGATAACCCGCGGGTTTCTGCCTTGATCTTTACCATATTGGGGGTGTCTTGATAATTTTATCTACATGATAATTGCAGGATAAAATTCTACCATTTGTTGTGTCTTTAGAGTTATGATGTCTGCTACTGTTGTGATCCCTTCAATTTCAGACCTGGGAAATCCAAGATATTGGATTGTCGTGGTCCGTTATTCTGTCTTGTGTGGTTTCCCCAAAGTAAAGTGCATTTAAAATCAGATGACAGAGATAAAAAAAATCTGAACTTTTGCACCTTGATAAGGCACGTTAACCAATCAGAGAATCTGTCTAAATACAGGGAGGGGTCTCAAGAGAACGTATTATATATGTAAAAGAGAAAAAAACAACAAAAATATATACTTATTTATATCCTACTTTAGAGGCGATCAGTGGGATCTTTGGCATGTATAACAAATTTTTCATCAGCCTGTCTGTACTCTAAAGGAGAGAGAGGATTGCAGACTCGCCCACTGCTCGCTGAAGACAATAACAGTAGGATTGGTTTCAAAATTTGTCAGTAGTCGACATTTTTTTTTAAAGCTACAGTGTGTAACATCGACATCTAGCGGTCAGACTGCAGCAACATGAACATCTCCCCCCCACCGCTTCTCCCCCCCCAACAGTACGGCGAGCGTTACGGTACAAAATGTCTTCCACGACGTCTGCATCACCTACCTTCTCAAGTGATGAGGTTTGTTTACATAGATAATTTTACAGATAGTATTTCATTAGTCTGTGTAGGGTATAGATTTCATGTAGACTTAAGATAATAAATATACCCGTTATTTTTTCTACATCGTTGTGACGTTTTGGCGATCTCGCAATCCCTAGTTTGTTGGCTCTGCGCTGCCGTAGCGCAAAGATGTCTGCCTCCATGGCTGCAAGACCCGCTCCTATGTAATTATAAATAACGAATTCTAAGGCAACGCAAATATTAAGGTTAAGAGGCTGAGCTCGTAGATGATGATAAATAACATAGTTATGTATAATATATTACATTTCTGATTGTATATCCCTGTAATTGTTACACACTGTAGCTTTAAAGTCACTAGTGGAGTCTAAAGAGTCGGAAGACTGAATTCATTCCATTATCTTTCTCCCTGCAAAGCTGTCAGAATAAAACCATAAAAATGAACAAGAATACATATAAGCGGGTTACAGAGTTACATGAAAAGGCCAGAGAAATATTTTTTTTGCAAAACGCAAAGTGAAAGTGCACCAAATACTACACTAAAATACTTCCTTAAATGTGGCAAAAACAATCTAAATTAAGTTAAAATCTAGCGTCTGCGCACTCTGCTCAATGCATGATGAGAGCGTCAAGATTGGGTTATGGTGTACTGTGCATGGAAAGAACCCAATGTATAATTAAACATTTTGATCATTTTTTTTTTAATCTATTTTAAAATATTGCCATGTGAACCAGACTTAAGCTTTTTAAGGTTTTCTAACCTTATGTTTCCAGCAAAGAATCGTAGGTTCCCCATTTCATGCAGAGCTAAAATTTGAAGGGAGTCATGACCATTAGCGTGGAGGTCCTCTATGGATAAGCAATAGAACAGAAAGGACAGTAAGAGCTTCATACACCAAGCAATTAAATATCATCAAATACTATCACTTGATACTATTATTCTTTTTTTTTTTTTTTATCTAGGATTGTAACAAATATAAATGAGTTAACACACATTAAAACATAGAAAACTCTTACTGATTGAGTTTAAGTATGCAGCAGCAACAACTGGTATGCTCTTGAGACTAATGGGATGGCGGTAGATGGCACTTGGAGTGCTAAAGTCCTCCTCATGCAGGTCATGCGGTAGCAGATTCGGAGTGAGCAAAACTGCAGGGCTGAAGGTAGCCTGGCTTGGTGAAAGGCTGAGACTTCTGTCTTGATGATTTGGAAACTGTGCTGCAAAGCATGAAGAGCAACATCTGCAGATTTTCCCCCACCACTGAGCATGTGTGTGTGTGCATCTGTTGTATAATAAACAATAAACCTACAGGGTTGTGAGCCTGCTAAAAGCTGCACCACTAGTGAACGACTGTGCTGGAGGACTTGAAGACAGTGCAGGCTTTTATCAAGGGCTTCGCGATAACAGCTCAGGGTATCCTCTACGTCCAGAGGAACGCGGACCAGTGACATGGAGCGCTGCATCTCTGAAGCTTCAACAAAGAACATTTTTAGATGCTAACAGAGTATTTTTGAATTTGCTTTACATTTCTTTTATCTATCGCACCGCATGAGAGGACCTAGATATTTTTTGTTGCAGAAGAAAAAAATCCAGATCAAACCTTTTAGGGAAAGTGCATCCTTTTTTGCAGTGGGCTGTTCCTGTGACACATACTGAGTCCATCCACTGAGCAACTGGCAACTTGCATAATTTCTGTAGGTTATCTAAGGGTCAAAAGGAGCAACACTTTAATACCTTTAATACACAACTACACAAGATTGATCATTAGTACTTCTTTAAAACTCCTCTTGGGTTTCTGGCACTAAATAAGAAAATAGGAAAACTTTTTATGTTGCTTTTTTCCTCACATGTAGTTTTGAAAAAATATTGCTCATGGCTAACATTGTTTTCTATTTTTTTAAAGACCTTTTTGAAATACACACAAATAAGTTAGGATTAGTACTTTTTTACGGTAATGTCTGTGCTTGCCTGGTTTTATTAGACCTTTTGATTTTAACTACATTGATCCCCACATTAAGCTGGATCTGATTTCTCTTCTGTGTGTTCCCTACTTTCTCCCCAGTGGCCTTCTGTGTCTTGACGTGGTGTGGTTGTGGGACTGCCGGTCCTCCAAAAGAAGCGATTCTTTCAAGCAGCTTCCTCTGAGAGTGGACCAGAAGAGGAGCTATGCTCAAGACGTAACGTTCCCTAAGACACAAAACAGAAATGAATTTCAAATTTCTTTTCAGAAATAGTTTCATTTAATGATTTTCTTTACTTATTTTGACTTAGTTTATTTTCTTGAATAAGTTTAACTTCAAACTAAATGTAAAAAGTTGAATAAAGAAAACATGCTTTGCATGCTGACAGTTTAGTGTCCTTCAAAAGTGTTCCCATTTTCCCACATTAACACCATAATGTTCAAAGTACTGTTTTATTTTAGTGACTGACCAACAAGAGGTAAGGCATGCTTCCAACCTTTCTTATTGAACATAAAAACACCTAATAATTCCATTTCAATTTCAAAATGTCTTGATGTTAAAAAAAGGATTCACCGTGTGTACGAGTTGTAAAGTAAGGCGAAGTGTGCCAAGGTTTCCCATTTTCCACAGTCATAAAGTTGCTCAAGAGTGTAGAACACCAAGGTTCGAACCCAGCGTAAGTCCACCAGGAGGCAGTCATCGAGGGGGGCTGAGAAGTGGAGACAGGATTCAAGTTCTTCAACAGTAGAGTCGAGATCATACAAACGCCAAATCTGGTAGAAAGAGGAAGCACAGTTATAGGGAGTTGGCAGAAAGTCATGAAACCTTAAACTGGTTAATTTTCAGCACTTGACCTTTCTTTAGATCTAAGTATGCTATTTTAGTGACTGTAGAGTATTATTTTTTGCATGTTATTAATTTGTCATTACTGTACAGACTCTTATTTATACAACTGCGTCTATTTCATTTTGCTGTTACTAAGTGTATTTGCATGCTTTAATATTCCTTCCACTTTACTACTGGTACTACTCCAATTTCAGTTTCTATTCTATTCTTTTTTTTTTTCTAGAATTTGACAAATATTTTACAAAAAAAATGTTTCTAAAGATGCCTAAAAAAATTAGGCAGAAGCAAAAGCTTATTTTTGCCTAAACCATTTCCATATTAAAAAAAAAAATAGCTAACATGCATTACATACAGTACTCAATCAACTGTCCTTCCACTCATATTACAGGTATTTGAATTAAAATGAATTAAGTGAAAAAGTAAACAAACACATATATAATTTATCAGGACATCAGTACTCTATACTCTACTTCTACTCTACTCTGACCTGCAGTTTATCCAGCATGTCCAGCATAAGATCAATGGCCAGCACCAGAATAGGGGTGAAGATGGCATGCAGCTGATCAGCTAAAACCGGTGGTTGCTTTTCTTGCAAAGCAACCTGTTGTACCATAGAGGTAAATGTGTTGTTTTGGTCCCACAGAGTCTGACACACATACTGCAGAGTTGTCCAGTGGCTTCCACGGTGGGCCAGCACCTGGAAACAATAAAAACAGAAATATTAAAGACGTGAGGTGTAAATAAAGGAGTCAAACATCCTTGTTTTTATAGCTTCATCTTGTATACCATTGCTCTGCGAAGATATAAAGCAGCATTTTTAACTGAATCCAGCAGTGATCCAAAATTGCTTGTGGATGTCTCAATGGATTTGTCCTGGCTTTTAAAGGATCCCTCTCTCTCGCCAATAATTTCCTTCGTAATAGACACATCGTCTCTGACAGCTAGAAAAAGGAGCATCAGCCTTTATTAGAAAAGCCAACTTACAGTATACCTCTTTCAGATTAAATTCTCACCTTCCTTGTGTGTCGTTTGTTTTCCTGCTTTCAGTATATCCTCCCTAAGGCAAGAGTTTTTCTTCAATTCAAGTTTATTTTCAGAAGACGGCAGAGAATCCTTCCTCATGATGATACCGGAGTAGGCGAAAGATAAACACTGAGCACCAAGCTGGCTGTACCTGAGCAAAGATTTAGTAAAGGTAAAGGAGGATTTACATTCACCTGAGATGTTACTTTAAATAACAAATGTAAATATCACTATATCGAAAATTAGAAGTTACAGAAACATTTAATGAAGTATTTATGAACTGAATTGTCTCCAGAGATGAGAACTGTATATTGAATGCACACCTCTGCTCCAGCTGTGTTCCATGCATCAGTTCCAGGCCCTGGTAGAACTGTGCTAAATGTGCCATAGCCATGCAGTAGTTGGAGAAAGATCTCCATGCTCTCTCTTTGGCCGTTAAGTTCCTCAGCTTAAGCAGCCTTCTGTGGCGATACACTTTATTAGACATCATAGCCAGTGAATTTTCCACAATGAGTATCTCCCTGAAAACAGAGACAAAAAGACACTGTATGAGTCCAAGTGATTACACTGCAATTCAAAGTGTCTCCTACCAATAAATATCCACATATGATACCTGTTAGTTCTCAGATTCTTTAGCAGGCTGTGTGGCATTTTCGTCTTTAGCTTCCTTTGCGTATGTTCATATGTGGAAATGTTCTATAATAAAAACACACACAAAGCTTGTTATTGTATGAAAAATAAAATAAGATACACAGATACATGAAATATAGTTTAGATTTTGAATACTCTGCTTTAAAGCTTTTTCACTTTTTTCACATGGAAACCATAACTCTAAATTAGACAATCACTGTGTTATTCTTACACATTACAATTTTGGTAGTAACCCATCATTGTAGCCCTGGTTGTATCTTAAGGGTTGTTTTCCAGCTCAAAGTTCAATCTTCAATCGGTACTCAATTCTTCCACAAACTTTACAGGTTTTCTTACAGGAATATTATGCATTTAGCTCCACCAATCTTCCCGTCGACTATCATCCGTTTTTCTAGCCCAGCTGAGGGATTTCTTCAAGAAAAATTTCTACTACTGCTTCATGCTTCCCCAGAAGGTGGGAATACTTACAAGTCAATCAGCTGGCCTTCAATAGATTAACATTTGAACTGATCTGTTTTATCAACATTTTTTGGTTGATTTGATTCTGATTCTGATGCCTTAGGATGATATGAGTTGTAAATTGGCTCTAGATAAACAATGAATATGCATTTAAGATGAGTTGCAAGTGATTTACAAATATTCTTTCCCGTCATGGAAATCAGTAAATTGTGTGTGCTACAGGCAGTTTGACAGTGGCTATAAAAATGGAATTAGATGTAATAATGATGATAATTAATACACATACCCCTATGATATTTATACAAAATAATAACAATGATGTTAATGATAAATAATGATTATAGTGAAAATTTACATTTGTTTCTCAAAGTTATAAAAAAAAAACAGTTTAATATAAAAAATTAAATATTAATCATAAAAACCTGAAAAAGCTGATACTGTCACCTCCTCAACCTTGACTCAAATTTAATTCAATTCAATTGTATATATATATGTATATATAATTCAATTGTATATATATATATATATAAAATATAATATAATATAATAATATTAGATATATAATTTAATATATATATTGAAATTTGTGGTAGTAATATGACAGATTATGAAAAAGACCATGATGTATGAACAGTTTTGTTAGATATTACATTTGCTCCACATGATGCCCATGTGTATGTATTGGGAGAATGTATGTTCACCTGAGGCAAATCTCTTATCTTTGTAGCCGGTGAGTTACTTCCTCCTTTGCTATTGCTGATTCCCCTTACACGGTTTTTGGTTTGTCCCAACATTTCCTTGTGTTTTCTGGTGTAGTAAAGAGCAGGATGGTGAAATAAGTACACTGTAATAGTGAGCCTCATTGTGGCATAACTACTCAATTACTAATATCATACATGGAGAGGGAACATAGATCTATTAATTGAAGCACACATGGAAATATAAAATCGACATTGAAAGGTATTTTCTTGTCTTGCACAAATATTTGGGAGGACTTGAAAAGTCAGAAATACAAACCTGGAGAGAACCTCATGAATGTTTTGTCCCCAGATCAGCACGAGGTCTGCCCTACCCTCTTCCAAGGTCCTCTGTAGAAGTAGTACAGCAAACTCAAGGAAATAAGTTTTCCCTGTGAGCTTCATGACTGTTCACAACACCCAAACATAAGAAATAGATTAACAAATTGATAAATTACTATATAAAAAATAAACATTTGGACAATCAGACAACAAGTTCCAATTTCCCTGAATATTTGGATAACCAAAATGATTCTGGTTTGATAAATATTGAATGTTTAAGGAGTTTTATCTTTATTTTCTGATTTAAAGGTGTACACACAACGTTTGCTATGCCTTTTAACAATGTGGGGAATCCCAGGAATGTAATGGCTTTGCAAGGATCTTATAGGTCAACCCACGACATTTGACCCTTCTCTAAACCTCACAAATGCCTGAAGGTGCCACAATCAAACATTCCAACAGATTAAACACATAATATGGAATTTGTTAATTTGAAAAAAAAAAACCACGAAAAAAGCAAAGTAATTGGTTTTGTTCGATAGTTAGAAAAATGGTAAGGTGTTGAATTATATAGTGAAAATCTCTGGTTCCAGCTGTTTAAGGAATGAATCTCACCTTTGTTGTAGCTATCCTGTAGTGTACAGCGGGATAACAGTTCATACAGTAGGGTGGGATCCTCAACGGTAGTCGATAAAATATCTGAAGAAATCAAGAAAGCCATGTTAAAATGAAGCTAAGTTTTTGTAACTGAGGTGAAGCGAAATGTCTTAATTTATGCTTAAAAGAAATGTTATATGTCACCTGCTAATGTTATATATGTATATAGTCTCAATATCTGTCCTGTTACCTTTTTATATTTTATCTTTTCCATTATATGCTAATATATATATTTTTTAATACATTGAGAAAAATAAGTATTTGAACACCCTGCTATTTTGCAAGTGTCCCACTTAGAAATCATGGAGGAGTCTGAAATTGTCCTCGTAGGTGCATGTCCTATGTGAGAGACATAATCTAGAAAAAAAATCCAGAAATCACAATATATGATTTTTTAAAACTATTTATTGTATGATACAGCTGAATATAAGTCTTTGAACACCTGAGAAAATCAAACCAGGTGTAGTTTTTCACCTGGTTTGCACACATTGCAGGAAGGATTTTGGCCAACTCCTCCACACATATCTTTTCCAGATCAGTCAGGTTCCTTGGCTATCGCTGAGAAACATGGAGCTTGAGCTCCCTCCAAAGATCCTCTATTGGGTTTAGGTCTGGAGATTGGCTAGGCCACACCAGAACCTTGATATGCTTCTTCCAGATCCACTCCTTGGTTATCCTGGCTTTGTGTTTCAGTTCATCGTCATGTTGGAAGACCAGGCCTGGAACCATCTTCAGTGCTTTAACTAAGGGAAGGAAGTTGTTCCCCATGGCCCCTGTCATCCTCTCATTAATATAGTGCAATCGCCCTGTCTCATGTGCAGAAAAACACCCCCAATGCCTGATGCTACCACCCCCCATGCTTCACAGTAGGGATGGTGCTCTTGGGATTGTACTCATCATTCTTCTTCCTCCATACATGGTTAGTGGAATTATGACCAGAAAGTTCTATTTTGGTCTCATCTGATCACATGACTTTGTTTCATGACTTCTCTGATCATCAAAATGGTTAATTGGCAAATTTAAGATGGGCCTTGCCTTGTGCTGGTTTAAGCAGGGGAACCTTCTATGCCATGCATGATTTCAAATCATGACGTGATAGTGTATTACCAACATTAACCTTGGAAACAGTGGTACCAGCTTTTTTTAGTTCATTGACCATCTCCTCCTGTGCAGTTCTGGGCTGATTTCTCACCTTTCTTAGATCGTTGAGACCCAACAAGGTGAGATCTTGCAACTATGCAACTTATGCAACTAACAACCTCAAACAGGTGTATCTAATTTAGGATAATAAATGGAGTGGAGGTGGACATTTTGAAGGCATACTAACAGGTATTTGAGGGTCAGAATTCTAGCTGATAGACAGGTGTTCAAATACTTATCTGCAGCTGTATCATACAAATAAAAAGTAAAAAAATCTTATATTACCTACAATGACAATTTCAGACCCCTCCCTGACTTCTAAGTGGGAGAACTTGCAAAATAGCAGGGTGTTCATATAATTATTTTCCTCACTGTATGATCTTTTTTAAGTTTCTTTACTTATTTCTGTTGAGTACAAGAATTCTAATCTGTTTGAACTGTGGTCTGTAACAAAAGGCTAATAAAACGCTTGAATGTTGACAGAGTTCATTCACATTTTCTAAATTCATTGGGCTCAAGACAAAAAGCAGGGGCAGTTCTAATATGGTAACGCAGCCCGTTTCTAAGGGTTACATTAGAAGAAGGACTGTCATGCTTTTTAAACTTTTTTCATCCCCTTTGTCAACATAGTACATACAATAGCTGGGTTTATTTTAGTGTAAAATTTTAACCGTCATTTTTTTGACCTGGAGTTAAATGTTTTTGCTCATAAATTGCTATATGTTGAATAAAAGTTTGAATGTTGTTGTGAATGTATTCCATACATGTGCAGAATAATCAGTCTGATGATGATTTGAGCTAGATTCACACTTTCAATTGTTGTTCTCACACTAAGCCAGTGGGGGGAGTGCTCACAGAATATATAATGACAGTCCAAAGCTCCTTTTACTGTACATCTTGGTTGAACACTGAATGGGTTTTTCATTGTGTTTTTTGCTACTGAACTGTATGCTAATCAACAAGAGTCCAAAAATCAATTGAATTAACCTAATCTACAGTAGTAGCCATTCAAAACTTCTCCACTTTATTTGATGGGCCCTTGGCTGGTCCCGTACAATTCCTTTTTAAACATCAATATTTGTACTAAAATATTCTGTCAAGATTTGTGGACATTAAGATCTAAAGAGAAGTGCCTTATCCTGGTCAGACCCTATAATTCAATGAAAGGGTGGTTTCAGAGTAAAAAAAATATGCATGAGGGGGGTCACTCCAGTGGCTGGAAGTTGAAGGAGATTTTGCTGGGAGTTGGAGGGAATTGGGCTGCCATTCAGTTGGGGTTTGATAGGAAAGGGCCATTTTGAAGGGCTACTACTGTATATGTTTAAACTACAGACTAAACATATAGATTAGGTGAATTCCTTTAGGTTCAAGCCAGAGTCCTCTTAGGGAATAGCTCATGGATGGGGAGCAAAAAGACATGAATTTTAAATTGGTGGTCTTAAACAGTAGAGGTCAGGCCACATTTTATACAGCTTAATGTAAATTCTGTAGTTATTCTATACACAAGAAAGTATTTTGTTTTTACCAGTGTCTTTGTTAAGCTTTGTCTCGGAGACTATGCTTTTTTTGTTCTTCACATGCAGTGCTTTGATCTGGTGGCGTATCTTCCTTAGACCATCGTTTGCAGCTTGAGCCCCTGCTTTATTCTATCAAAAAATACAAAAACAGAACTGTTTAATATCCACATTTCATAACCACATACATATAATTCTGAAAATTATGAAATCATGAAAAAGATATGCCTCTTGTTTTACACTCACAGCTTGCCAAGGAAGTGTGCTAGGTTTAGAATGTGCTTTAAAGAGCTCCTGGAGTAGATTGTGCCCATCATTACACTGAACCTGAGAGAACAAGACAGTCAAACACAAACTTTGCCACTGATGTTGGTAGAAGTAATTTAAACTCACAAAAAAGTAATCAAATAATTGTATTTCTATGAGGTGCTTTGGTAAATTGGTTAATCTGTTGTGGAGTATTTTCTGTTGCATCTTCATTAAAATGTATTGCTATCTACCAGGTATTAAGGTGTATATTTCATGAAATAGGTAACAGACCATCTATAACACACTTTCTGCTCTATAATGCAATATTTTGTTTCCCTCTTTTTCCTCCCGTTTACTTCAAAATGTAAGTCTCTTGCTTGAATGATTACTTGGACAGCATTGTTTTATTAGTTTAGGTAGTTATAAACAGTAGTCTAGTTGTAAAAAAAAAAAAAAAGAAGGGAGATTGTGGATTTCTTTTTTTTTTTTTAAGCATACATAGCCTGATTAATATGGTCTATTAATCTAAAGCAATATGCATGGTATGGTTGTTACATGTCAGGTTTGCCAGTCATTGACCAAGGCACCTTACAGTAGAACTGCAGTCAGTCCCTGTACTGGCATGGCTATCACTGCCCCTACACAGATAGGGACTAATTTCCCAATGGGATCAGCAAGATTTGGAACACAACCTCACAAATGATTGCAAATGAATATCTGAATCCTTTAAAGTCCTTTAATTTTTTTTAATTCAAATTCAAATTATTAAATTGAAATAGATTAAATTATTTTCAAAATCTGAAAAAACTGCTTACAAATTCAAATATATACATTAGAATTAGCCTGAAAATTAAATAGGACTATATAAAATCAAATAATTTTACTCACCTTTTAAACATTCATTTAGAGTATTTATTTTATAAAATAGACCGTTTATCAGAAAATCAGTAATTTAAAGTAAGCTAGGCTACATACTTTAAAACAACTTTATCAATAAGAGCCAGTACCATTGCAGCCATGAAAAATTCCGTAAGCAACTGTTGGGACAGCTCAGTAACAGCACTAGGGGGATATTTCATAATTCGGATATTAAAAAAAATATAGTTTTTAATAGTCCAAATTAACTGAAATATCTTGATTATACTTCCGGGTGCGTGACACTTTAAATGACAAATCAGATGACGTCATTTGAGATATCTCAAAATGCATTTAGACTCTCTAAAATGTGATTAAAGATATCTTGAATAGTTTTTTTCTCTAGACATAATATAAAAATATAAAACTTTAAGGGCAGTCAAAATTTTGTAAAAAATGTATGCCTATTCTGTAAAAATTTCTGTATCTCTATATCTGTATTATGAGTTGTCTTCTCAATTAAGAGGGCCCCATGCCTGTCTTTGCCTAGGGCTCCAAATTTCATAAATCCCTCCCTGCTTCAATTTTCTAGTCGGGTTTCCTCTGCTGTGCCAAGAATTACCTCCCCTGTCGCGGGAACTATGCATTGCCCTAAACTCACGCCCATTGATGATAAAATGGATTGAAATACAAACGAAAAGAGGCATTTTAAACATATTCGTAATGTTTTCATATTTCTTATACATGGATGGCTTAAAATTGATAGTTTAGGTGGAAAGATACATTCGAATTAATAGTATTTTACTTGTACGGAAACACGTTTCAGTAGATGTACTTCAGTCAGTGTGCAATGAATAAATTCTCTGCTCAGTGGATGCCAATTCCCGATTTTCCTATCAACACCATTCTAGATCATTTCTGAAACTCTATTTGTTAAACTTAGAACCCGGAATCTGCCGAAGATTCCCTCCCCTCCTTATTTTCACATTTATTATCCCAGATTTATGAAACTCACAATCACAGAGAGCAGGTATGATTATGCAGAGACAATATATATTTTACCAGGTTATTATTGTCTTTGATTTTGTCTAAATTGGAAACATAAGATGAAAAATGTACCTTCCCTGTTTCAAAAGTGGTAAGATTTCTAAAAATAAGAAAAAGTCCTTTCATATTAAAAAGCCATAAGGTCTCTGTAGTTTCCATGCTGTAGACAGAACAAACGAACAAACCTTTGACAGGTAGTAAGTGATACAGCCAACCATGTGCATAATGGACTCTGAAGTGTATCCGGTCCCTCTTTGCTTTAAAAGAGATGAATTCTCCTTCAAAAACACCAGACACTTTCTAAGTACCTGAATTTCCAAACAGACACAGAGATGTAGATTGTTTTAAATTGTTTTGAATGTACATATATCATTTTAAATAATTTTGACATACTTGCACCACAGGATCGCAAGAGATTTGATAGTAGATGAGAGGAGCCAAAATCATGTAGCAAGTAACTACAGCTCGTAAAGCAGTCCTGCCATCATTCAAATACATCGCCAAGTCAATGGCCAACAGCATCCTCTCGCACTCTGCTATCTTGGCTTCCTGTATTCACACAAGAAATTCATTAATATGAGTTTGTGATGTTTCCTAGTTCCCTCCTCAAGGACATGGCAAAAGAACAGAGAACAACATCTAAAGCACCATAGATCTCGCTTGCGTTATTTAGGTTAATGATTATTATTCAACTAAGGTGTAAATTCAAAAGGAAAAACGCATAGCTGACAACATAAACTTAACATCAGTGGTCAAGGGTTGTGGTGCTTTAATGGTCTGAGGCTACTTTGCTGTGTGAGAACCTTGAAATTTTCACCTGTTCCCAGATAAATGGCCCACTGTTACTGAATGAAGCCCAGTGGAGGGAGGCCTGCTGAACATTGATCTCTGTTTCAGTGAAGATGGAGGCCAAGAACATCTGGCAAAGGTGAAGAGAGGAGTTTTGCAGTATTTCCTTTTGAAGCCTTGAAAATTGAATTTGGAAAACTTGATTATGAACGTAAAAAATGTAAAAACCCAGTTGGAAAAAGTGAACTGTGTTTGTTTCCATTCTCACCGAGTGGAAGAAAATCTGTTTAGTTCGCTTTTAGATAAACAGTCTGGATCTGTGTAATGACTCGATAGCTTCCTGCAGGCTTTTTTAGATACAGCATACTGCTCTGTTTGAAAAGCCACCTGGAAGAAAAGCCAACAAAGCCTCACACACATGCATATCCCTGCTTTTCCTTGTATTCTCTGCTTGGTAAAATTTCAATCTTTGTGTGTAATTTACCTGAGCCAAGTAAGCCCATGTACAAAGCAGTGGGACAGGCATACATGCTATTATAGGTAATGTTGTATCCCCTATAGCATCGCCCAGTAGCTTTCCCTGGCTGTCATAGGCTGCTACAGCAAACACATACTTCTGGTTTGACTGGAGGCCCTTTACCATAAGAAAACACTCACCAGAAACCACTGGAACCTAAAACATAAATATGCTTCAGAAATTACATAATAGGAGATATTAACAATTACATATCCTCACCTTTAAAACTCTGTGAAACAAAACCCAAACCACTATAAATTACCAAAATCCCAGTTCCTGGTATACTGCAGTCACCAAGCCGGACTTTCTGGTTAACCCCCTGGACTGCACGCCCACAAAGGTGGTACCAGCTCACCTTAAGAAAAGGAAATTATCAGTCACAGAAATAATTTGTGTGTAACAAAATTGGCTCATGATGTGCAAATCTCACCTGTCTTTCTAAGTCATATGGCGCAGGAGCAAAGGTAAAGGAGTGGTCTGTTCGTGACAGTAAAATTGGAGGAGCTGGAGAGTTTTCCCCAGGTCCTGCTTTGTCCTTCTTTCGTCCGGGATTCTTAACGTTGGCCATGTATATTTTTCTTTCCTCCAGTTCAGCTTTTTCTATCAGGATGGTGGCTTCCTATAAAAATACATGGGTAAATAAATACCTAATATAACTTATTCCATAATGCTAATTCAATCAGCAGACAATCTTACTTAGGTTATGCATTTGCAAAACAATATATATATATATGTGTGTGTATGTATTGTTTTGCAAATGCATAAGCTCACTCTAGAAATATAAAAACGTTCATGTGACTGAAACCAACCTATTTCACAAGGGTTGTATATGTAAAATACCAGTTTATGACTCCTATATGGCGGAATGATGCCGGCTGAAAAAAAAGTCCTAATTGATATCAAGGTCTGTCATAGCTACAGGATGGTTTAAAATGTTGAAATAGTCCAACAAAACACATTCATAGTTTTTCTAGCTTAAATACTTTCATTATCTGAACCGTACTGGAAGTACTTTTTCTGCGGTACGTTACTGGCCGTTTCTCAGAGAAAGAACAGCAGTTACATTAGGGACACTTTTATTGTTCATCTCAGCTGCATACTGGGAATGCTTCACACAACTTAATGTCCAAAAGCCTGGATTGTCCCTACCATAAATCTTATGTCTGTAGCAGCATGTCTGGAGGATGCTCTTTGTAGCCCTAAGCTTTTATTTACAGTCATAGTGAACAAATTAGAACAAAAGGGTTGTTGTATCTCAGATTAAAAGTTGTTTTGAAAATAGCTTCTAATGTCTAATGTTATATCTTAATCTTAAATGTTGTTTTCATCAACTGTAAATAAAGTATTTGTGTAAATAATCTTTGAGTTACATGACATACATGAACTTTTTCATGATTTTTCCTAATATATCAAATATGACTGGTTGGCTATAATTTGATCAGCTTTTCTGCAGCAAAACAAACTAATATAGAACAAAACAACAGGTATAAACAAAGAAGATCAAAATGTTTTTCAGAAAGCCTATTTTTGTTTTCCCACAACAGGTTAATTTAAAGGTTTATATTTGAAGGGAATTGTTTATAATGAATTCTTGAAATATCCTAAATGCCAATGCTTAACCTCTAGCAGGCTTTTGATTTTGCTGCTTTCATTTGGTCCCCCTCTGCTGTGCTCCACTGATGCTCTCTGGATCATTAAATGAGCTTTGGACACCTTGTTCCTCTTGATGCGATCCAACAGGTCAGACTCTGTAACTACAAGGACAAAGAAAGCCTCAGAAGTAACCTTTACATGCAGAAATGTATGTGAGGTTCTATTTTTTAATTAGCTCATTGTGAGTAATATTCAAAGGATTAGCAGGTTTCCAAACAGCACTTAGCTTCTTTAATAATCAGCAGAATATATGTCAATTTTAGCAGTGAATCAAACCTTCATTAAGCTGCAGTAACTTGAGAGAAGCCTTGACGTAGATGATATCCAGCTGAAGGTATAGATCCTTCACCAGAATAAACAAACGTTTGGACTCTGTGTCTTGATGGCCTTTATTTTCAGACTCTGTCTTAGTTTCCTTTTCTTCTTCTGCCTTGAAAGAGCTTTCATCTGTTCTATTTTTTTCTTCTGATGTTGTTGTTGAAGATACAGTCGAGGGATGAGGGGACATATATTTCTAGCAGAGCAGAGGATTTATGTTTAATTTCTGTTTAACTAATGAAACTTTCCTTTTCAAAACTAAACCCACATTGATAAATGAAGAAATAAAAGCTTTAAATAACTTTGCAAGAATAGAAAGATCATCTGTTTACCTGCATGCAGGCAGTATCAGTGATGGCTGAGTGATCCAGGGGAATCAGAGCAGAGACACCCTTTGACAAGGCTTCTTGAGCCTTCTTTGTCACTTCACAGACCTTTTTTAGCAGGTCTGTGTTCGACCTCTGTTAAATAAACACATAAGAAATGGATGAAGCGAAGTGAAAGGAAAGTGAGAAACAAAATACAAAAAAAAATTGACTATCTAGTTAATAAATCCCATCTAAGTGTTATCTGATTTCACTATACATACAAACAAGATGTAAAAGTGGGAACTCTGGTCTGATGGACACAATTAAGTCTTTTAGCCTACAGGCCTCCGTGTCAGAAACTTAACACTGAATATTCCTGAAAACACTCTTCCAAGAGTGAAACATGGCAATGGCAGCATTATGCCGTGGGCGTGCTTGCTTTTTTTAGCAAGGGCAGGGAAGCTGGTTAATGGGAATATGAAGTAAACTATGTATGTGTGGAGGTTCCTCCATCTCTTCCTCCATTTTAGTATTTATTGATATAAAGGTCTTCACGCAATACATTTATAATTTCACTCTTTTGTGTTTTTTTGGCATTAGGTTGTTTACTATTATGGGTGCACAGATTTAGTAAACACCTTTTGTTTATTTAAATTATTAACTACTTTTCTTTGCTGAGTTTCAAGGACTGGCTGAGTGGAGAAGACTGGTTGAAAAGCAAACCAGGAAGTGGAACGTACCATCAGGCTGCTGGAAGCAGGGGACTGCTTCTCTCTCTCTATTAATGGCATAACTGTTAAAACATTTTTGGAGTTAGGTTGTTTTCTTTTGATAGTTGTGTTGTAGTCAAAATGTGTTGTTTGAATTAGTTATTTATGTTTATGCATTGATTGTCTTTGTCTCATCTCCTATCCCATCTTGTTTGAATAGGCTAGCCTTTGTGTATAAATTCCCCTGTGACCTCATTGTGTGAGGTCAGTTTTTTTTTTTTTTTTTTTGTTATCCTGAGTTAGGTATGCCCTAGTTGAATTCCTTTGGCACATTTTGGTATATTTTTTTAGATTTGATGCAAGTCCTTTTGTGAAGAACTTTTTTGGAAAAAAATAGAAAATACTTTTTTTATATGCCTTTGTCCTTGTGCTTTACTGGACGGTAGTGATGGTGAGATGAAGCCTCATGAGTCATTGAACCTTTGGCCAAATTGCTTCAACGATCACCACAGTTCATGAGGCTTCATGTGAACATGTCACCACCTACTGGTGGACAGCAGAACTACAGTTTGTTATAAATTCTGAGATTTTTTTGCAACTGTTCTTTTTTTCCCCCTTTTAGGTTCCTTTGAAATTGTTAATGGTTGGTGTGTATAATAAAATCTTCTGTAATTTTTTTAAGTGTAAAATTCCTTAGAACAACCATTGAAGGTGCACAGTTTTTCTGCCATTTTAGTAAAATAAACTCAAGCAGACAGTGAAAGTGTTTGCGCAAATTGGGCAATGATGAGCAAAATGAAAGGTGTTAGTTATTTTTATTCAAATATGATAGTTTTTCCACATTTTTTGGTTTTAATCAGGGTGGAAGTTGTGTTCAACCAATCTTTTGGCTAAACCAACCTAATTTACTCAATCTATATTTTTACTCAGGCAAAACAATGCAAATTACTCTCAACAGCCAAAATAATTAAGTTTAATCGCAACTTTCAAAAGTCAAAGACAGGTCTCCTCTAGAGTGAGAGCCTGTCTCTTACAGATGATGCCACCAATTTTGATTATTACATTGTTTATTCCAACCAAATTAGTTTTAACTAGGGTGACCAAACGTCCGTATTTCCCGGGACATAACCGTATTTCACGTCCTGTCCCTGGCATCCCGGGTTTTTTTTAGAAAGTGAGGAAATGTCCTGATTTTTTAAACACGACGCTGCGTGTGACGTAATCCAGCCTTCCCGCAGGCTGCAGCGGGATGTACTTGCAGTGCAGGCAGCCCTATTCTTAATCAGAATATAGATAGCGTGGCTGTCAGTACGCCAACAACATGCAAATGCGAAAATGTATGTTTACCGAAAAATTTACAGGAGTTTCCCCACTTTCAGACCGGGTCGAGACACATTGGAGGCCTTGTGCACAGTGTGCAAAGCAGGCACATATGTCTCTGTGTCCAATGGAGGTGCAAGGAATCTGAAAAGCCACCTGGACACCGAAAGTAAAGATAGTCTATTGATATGTTTGTTCGTTTTTGGTACATTTTGAGTTATTTTTGCTACACAAGAGGTATTTTTTGTTAATTAGCTAATTTGTTAATTTATTTTTTCCAATTGCCTACAGAACAGACATTATTTCGTTCATTACTGAGGCTGAGTATCATCTGTTATTGGGAGTTGAGAGTTATTGTTAACTTTTATTGTTAAGTGAGGGATGTTTAGATTAGACATTATTTCTTTCATTGTGCTATTCATTCATTACAGGAATCGTTAAGCATTTTTAATAAATACATTTTGAATAAAATTATCATTTGTTATTGAAGTTATTGCTGTTGACTTTTACGTAAAAGCATTTTTAATAAATCAACCGTAAATATAGACATCTCTATGCATGGGAACAGAGAACAGACAATTTTTACCCCTCCCCTTAATGAATCACGCCTCGACACGTGCTTTGGGGAAACGCCCCTTCCATTACTCGACACAAGCCTCGAAGCCTCGGCTCATCTCACTACTGGACGGACCACCACAGTATGCAAAACACTAAGGGCCGGATCTATCAAAGGTTTGCGTGTATAAAAACGTGAGCTATTTCACTGCGCACGCTAAAAAATTTACAAACTGATCTATCAACAGCTTGCTAAAAGGATTTGGTCTTTAAAACGTGCTAAATAGCGCCTCTTATCCATTTAGTACTTTTTCTGCAATGAATATGCAATATGGCGCGTTTACACGCAAAAGTGCGTCTTGTGGGAGGAGAACATGTAAATATATTAATTTAGCACTCGCAAAGTGATTTATCAAACCTGAAAGAAATTTTGCTAACGGTATCTGACTCTATATTTAACATGTTTCAAAAGAAGGTGCAAATGGACTGTATGCGTAATTGCGCACACATGGCAGCGGTTATTGTCGCAAGAAGGAGACATGGAAATGAAGCAAGGAGACGCAGAGAACGCATTTTTTCACTCCGTGTGAATATTTTTGGAATGAACGAGGAAACGATCATTAAAACATCGTTTATCCAGCATTGCCATTTTGGAGCTGTTGGGAGAACTCAGAATGGATTTGGAGCCAGCCACAAGGAGGCTCCACGCAATACCAGATATCACAAAACTCCTTGCAACATTGCACTTTTTTGCATCTGGGTCATTCCAGAGTACGGTTGCAGCGAGAGCTGGGATCTCCCAATCTAGTTTTTTAGAAGTGCTGTCCGACGTTCTAAATGCCATGTCGCCCTGACACCCTAATGGAGAACCCCGACCTCCCTCCTGCACCTGTGGAGCAGCATGCCAATGCTGCGGGGATGCGTACACGCAGTAATCTCATCCACGGTCACTTCTTGTGAGCCATTTGGTATGTGCATTTTTCTACAGGCCAATACAAAACACCTGTTTTTTTTGTTGTTTTTTTTACTGCAGTGAAGTAGAAATTCAGCCACATACCACCTTAGGGAATAAAGGTTGCCAAAGTTTATATATGTCAGACTTAAATTTCTTAATGCACTAGTTTGTACAAACTACAAACTACTTTGCCGCAAACCACAAAATGCGCAAAACCATCATTTAAATAGGGCGTCTCCAACAGTTTTGCACCTGCCACCAGTTACGCAATAACTCTTGTTAAATCACCCGCAAACCATGGTTCAGCCCCTCGTGCAAAATTCCAGTTTGCGAGTGCAAATTACTGCACGCAAAATTGGATCTTGATAAATCCGGCCCTAAGTGGTTTAGATTTTATGCTTAAAATGGCCAAGTCAGAGTCATTTTAGATTTGCACCTGTGAGAAACATTAGACTTCTTTGTGTTGATGTATTACATAAAATGCTAAGAAAATACATTAATGTTTATGTTGATGTGAAAAAATATTTTGTCATTCACATACCTCAAGGAGAGAAAACGGCCGTGGCTTCACTTTAACATATCCACCAACAGCTGCCATAAAGAGAAGAAAAAAGAATATCAGTCTGATTCTGGAACAAATGATCTGTGCCTGTTTGACTGGATCTTAGTGAATAGTATTTCTCACCTGACTCCTCAGTTTGATTAATACGGTTGGCTGCTTTCTCAAGCTGTTTACCCAACATCAGGTGCATCTCTGCCGTCATTATGCAGTCGACATTTGCCAGCTCACAAGTAAGGGCTACCTCACTCAGCACCGACAGACACCACAGACACTGCAAACATGATCAACAAGAAACCTAAATAACAAGGAAAATGATTTAATCCTTTTTCTTTTTTTCATAATGTCTGAAGTGTTGATTGAATTAACTCAGAAACAAGCTCTTAAATTGCAATTATAAACTGTTTTACACACAAAAACTTGGCATTTCATTTTTCCTTGTAAAGAGATACCTTGCCATAAGAATCGATTTTCTGGCGATCATGCTGAGATTCTGGAGCTTCCAGGTGATGAATTTGCATCATCATTCTTAGTTTGCTCCACAGAAATACCAAAGCATCAAAACTGAGGTCTGGGTCTGGCCACAGTTCCTACAGAAAAATGCATAAACAGAAAAAAACGAAAGCATGGAAATCTAAAAGTCCATCCTCGGAATTAATCAGTCGGGTGCCTGAAAACATTCAACACAATAATTACAAAAAGAGGAAACTCACAGAGTCAGAGCCACAAGTGGACAAACGCAAAGTGTCAACCAAGTCAAGAAACTCATTGCTCATGTAGGAAAAGGATCCTCTTGTGTCTGTTAAAACATTATTATAAAAAATGAAAAACATGTCAATTATACTTCTAAACCCAGCTAAGTTCATGATTTACTTTCTAGAATATTCCAGCATGAGATTTTCACAGTTTATAAAAATGTAATGCTGTTTTGGTTGCATGATATAAACTCTAAACACACCACATTTAGTTACTTTCTTTAAGTACCTATTGGAGTTCCACCTTTTATAAAATAACACAGCATCCTGCTTATACAACTCTATAAAGCCTCAAACTCAATGCTATTTCTGACTTTTCAAATTGAAAAAGCTTCCTGGATGGGAAGCAAAATGTCTTCAAACTTGAAAACAAAGTCCAATGGATCAGGTTTTTTGCTTTTTACTTTTTTTGTAATGACTATGACCTGAAAATCCTCACCAGCATGACCAAGAATAAATAAAAGGCATTCATCAACAAATATTTAAAGGCCATATGACATACATGTATATAATCATGTTTTCTGTTTACCATCTTTTTTGTCCTCTTTAGGACTGTCTCCTTGAGAAAACAGCAGGTTTTTGAAACAGTGCAGTAAGTTGAGATCAACTTCTGCCTTTCTGAAAGGCTGACCCTCCAAACCCTGAGGCAGAGAAAGAATTTATTCTCACACAAACACTCATTGGGAAACATATGTATATATATATATATATAAAGATACATATTTTTCTTTTTTTTTTAACCCAAAAATCAGCTTTAACAAAAATGGAGACACACAGTGCCAGGAAGTATAGAACATCGGTAGGTTTGACGATACATCTACAGTATATCCATGACATATCAGCAAATAACTTTGAAGCAACTTACAGACAAATGGTGTAGCATCGCCTTGGTGAGTTCTGAGAATGCTTCTGGCTGATTGTAATTAAACAACAGTTTGATGAATCTCACTGCAGACATAACCGATACTTGGTTCTCACCTGTTGAAACAATGCATTACGTTTATAAACTCTACTTTCTTTACTCAGAAAATGTAGCAGAACAAAGACAGTTCATTTTCTGATTACATCATAACCTGCTATCAGCAGAAATACAAAACAAAAAAGGACAAGATGATCTAATCATGACTATTTTATACAGGAAAGCAATTAGTCCTAAAACTGTTACAATAATGAACCATGTTGACTTTTCAGTTAATTTACTAGTAGTCATAACTATTAATTGCTGTTTCAACAGACTTTGACAACTAAAAAGACTCAGTTATGCTGTGAGTGAAGAGAAAATAAATTCCAAGTTAAAGCTAATCTGACCATACAAGAGCGAGATCTATCGGTGCTAGTATCAACTTCCTCAAATCAATCATAGAAAATATGGCAGGAATGATATTTTAGGCAATACAGTCTTCATGGCAATAAAAGTATATGCAATATCGACATTTCAACACTTTGGATCCAAATTTGCAAAAATGTTAAATAAAAGGAAATCACATAAAAGTTTGTTAGCATCAATAAAGTTGTCACTTCTTCAGCAGTATTATTTCTTAAAATACCCCCAATTTTAAATTCCTTGGTTTTAGAGACGGAACAGACATCGTAACTTTATGCAAAGGAAATCCAGAGCCACTTACTTTAAATAATTTCTCTTTCTCTATAATCTATAAATTTTTCAAACTATTGAATACCTTGATGTATATAACACTGCTATGCATACATAAGATTGATAGGTGTACTTGCTGAAACTGACTTACCTTTAATTGCCAAATCGATTAGAGTGGAAGCGGATGTCAGTATGTTAGGAGATAGGCATTGTTTATCATCAGATTGTTTACCGGTACTTTTGACTCCTTTGCAAAAGTTGATGAGAAAAGACATTTCCCAGTTAGGCCTTTAAAATACTGATATAAATGTTTTATAATTTTAGTATCATATCGATCTAAATACAGCAGGTTGATGTATTTATTGCACTAACCAGATAAGATGCTCATGCCTGCAGACAGGAGCCCAAGGACCACAGTTTGTGTTTCTGCATTATCTGGCACCATTATGTGCAGCGGACGTGTGCTGCTGTCCCAAAGTGCCTCCAAAATGGCCAAAAATTGTCCTGCAGTGCAGTCAAACTGGCTAATCAGCATCGTCTCTGTTAGGGTACGAGGCCACGGGGCCTGGGGGAGATGCACAGCTGTATTTAGTTAAGAAATGAAAGATTTCTGTAAAGTACTCTGCATATAAAACATACAATATCCAACTAAAGTATGCAGTATCCTATTAAGACAATGCCAAGCATCTCATGGAAATATAAGGAAATAAGAATCAAACTTTATCAGAAGTATACTGAAGCACAATAAATGAAAGCTACACTTCATTTGAATATGACATTTACCATTGGCTGATATTACATGAAACTTGGACATTACATTACATTGGGGATGTCTTTAAGGGAGCGTATGGTTTTGCCTCTTAGTGCGACTTTAGGTTCTCCTCTGCTGTTAAAGACCGCCCGCTTGAACACCAAAGCACCAAGCTAAATATGCAAAGACAAGAAAAAAGTGAAATTTTTAACAGCATAAAACTTATCTTGATTTTATATGAAAGTTCATCTTTTATGGAAGAAAATAACTGCATAGATCTAAATCTTAAAGTATATTTATCCTTCAGATTTTCTCTATGTGTTTTTTTTCAGCTATGTTCAATAAATTAGGTTACTCATTCCTTTCTCGAGTGTTTGTCGGATTATAAATAAAATTAAATCTATGCAGATGTTTTAATTTTTTTTTTTCATGAAGCAGAACGTTTGAAATATAATTGCTTTTTAAATTTGCTTAATATACTAATTCCAATAATACATGTTTTTTTTTAGCTTTAAGCACAGTATCATGATAATTTAAAAAAACTATGTCTTTTAAACATCAATATCTTTAACAAAGCTTTCTAATATATTTTATTAAGCGAATTGAGATTCTCATATTTCAATATGAGAAACAGACAGACAGAATGAACACAACTGCTGCTCTAAAATTAAGGTTTCACTAACGAAAGAAAAATACGCATAATAAGGAAATATATTTTGGGTCTAGGGGAGCTGCTGTATTTAATAGAACCTTAAACTTTTGGTCTGTAACAGATTAAGCATAAATGTGATTAAATCGCACTTAGTTATTTCAGTAAGGTAAAGTAAGTATGCTAAGAATACTGTACTCTAAAAATGATTTATACTGGTTCTACACAGAAAAGTGGACCAAACTACATCTCAAACAATGCTATATATAGTGGGGGAAATACGTTTTTCACCCCTTGCTGATTTTGCAGGTTTGCCCACTTACAAAGAATGCAAAAATCTACAATTTTAATCATATATACATTCTAACAGTGAGAGACAGAGTCCCAGAGAAAATTCCAGAAATTCACATCATATGAATTTATAAAAATTGATAACCATCTGATGAGGAAAAACAAGTATATGACCCCCTTCCAAACAGCAAGTATTCTGGCTCCTATAAGCCAGTTAGTCTTTCTTTAAGACACAGCCCCAATCCCAACCAATTATCTACATCTAATACACCTGCCTCACCTCGTTACCTGTATAAGACACCTGTCAACACCCAAACAACCAGCATCCAACATCACCACCATGGGCAAGACAAAAGAGCTTTCTACGGACATCAGGGACAAGATCTGCACAAGGCTGGGATGGGCTATAAGAGAATCGGAAAGCAACTTGGAGAGAAAAGATCAACTGTCGGTGCAGTTATCAGGAAATGGAAGAAGCACCACACCACCACCAACCTCCCTCAGCCTGGGCCTCCACACAAGATCTCGCCTTGCGGGGTGTCCCTGATCATGCGAACGGTGAGGAATCCACAAGGGGGGAACTGATGAATCAACTGGAGGCAGCTGGGACCACAGTTACATAAGAAACGGTTGGTAACACACTACGCCGTCATGGATTGAAACCCTGCAGCGCTCGCAAGATCCCCCTGTTCAAGAAGAAACATGTACAGGCCCGCATGAAGTTCGCCATTCACCACCTGGACGACTCAGAAAAGGCCTGGAAGAAGGTGATGTGGTCAGATGAGACCAAAATAGAACTTTTTGGCCTCAACACAACTCGTCATGTTTGGAGGGCAAAGAACACCGAGTACAACCCAAAGAACACCATCCCCACCGTCAAGCATGGTGCTGGCAACATCATGCTTTGGGGGTGCTTTTCAGCCAAGGGGACGGGACAACTACATCGTATTGAGGGGAGGATGGACGGGGCCATGTATCGTGGGATTCTGGACCAACATCTCCTTCCCTCAGTGAGAGAGCTGAAGATGGGTCGAGGATGGGTGTTTCAGCACAACAAGGACCCTAAGCACACCGCCAAAGCAACAAAAGAGTGGCTGAAGAAGAAGCACATCAAGGTTCTGGAGTGGCCTAGCTAGTCTCCAGACCTGAATCCAATTGAAAATCTTTGGAGGGAGCTTAAAATTCGAGTTGCCAGGCGACAACCTCAGAACCTGAATGATTTGGAGGCTGTCTGCAGGGAGAAGTGGGCCAACATCCCTGCCGAAATGTGCAAAAACCTTGTCACCAACTATAAAAACCGTTTGACATCTGTGCTGGCCAATAATGGCTTTTCTACAAAATATTAACATGCTGTTTGGTAGGAGGTCAAAAACTTGTTTTTCCTCATCAGATGGTTATCAATTTTTATAAATTCATATGATGTAAATTTCTGGAATTTTCTTTGGGATTCTGTCTCTCACTGTTAGAATGTACATATGATTAAACTTGTAGATTTTTGTATTCTTTGTAGATGGAGAAACCTGCAAAATCAGCAAGGGGTCAAATACTTATTTACCCCAATGTACTTCATGTTGCGTTAACATGAAGTTCGGTTGTCTTTGTCTGATAGTTAGATTTGTTTGATGATATGAAACATCTAAGTGTGTCATAAAAGCTAAAATATAGTAAATCTGAAAGGGGCAATTGCTGTATATAGTCTCCTTTCAGACCTTCACAGAAGCTTCTCTGTAAGCTTTCTGAGCTTCTTTGTTGGTGGCGTCAGTCGGTGTTTCCAGCTTAGCCAGCTCATTTATTTTTCCAAGGGCTCTGTTAGCAAATTCCTAAAACCATAAAAAAAATGAAACACAAATAAATAGATAAAAAATTGTTAGTTATTTAATTACAAAAAACTTTATTAATTCAAAGGGACATTAAATGTTCTTTCAGAGTAACTCAGAGAAGCTCTAAAACCTTGTTTCTTTTTCAACAAAATATTTGACCTTAAATATATAAATTGTGTCAAACCCTCAATGAATGCTACAACTTATTTTTATTTAAATAATCTCACAATGAGGAATAATTTGTGATTAAACAATAAAAAATAGCCTTATTCATAACTTTTAAGATTGAACTGTGAATAGTTTTTTTTTTGTGACTGTTTGAGTAGATGTAGACGTCTTTCACCTCTGCCTGCTCTTTAGCCTGGTTGTCATAGTAACACTGGCAGACAGAACAGTAGAGCGCTGTAATCAGTGGCAGATATCTGGCTGTCATCAAAGGGACGGACAGCTCCAAACTGATACTCGCCCACAGAAGGTACTCCAGTGCCTGAACAGGAACATAAATGGTGCTATTAGGTATCAGAAATAGGGACTTGTTTATATGCATTTTCGTCTTCAGCTAAGAGATGTGTTTTATCACACTTCAATTTCAGTCTCCTAAATTTTTTCCTCCCAAAATCCATTTCACTGTATCTGTGTTCAAATGTCTCTTAAGTCATAAATAATTGTTTTTGGAAAAGATTTGAAAAATCTCTATAAACTTAGACAGTATAGGTGATCTGTAGCCTATAGAACACATTCTATTCATGTACTATACCTGCTCACTGTAATTCATAGTCATCAAGTAACGGCAGATGTTGTAGATAAACAATGAACCTAGAGGAGACGAGAAAGAAACAGCATATGATGCATTACAGACATGATTCAGAAATACAATGAGAGTCACATTATTATATTTTCCTAGCTGTTGTATCATAATGGTCAAGTAAGGTAAGTCCTATCTACTTTCAATCTGTAGCTTGATGACTGACTAGTCTGGAGACAGTGATGCAAGCTGAAAAAGGCCTGAATTCCCCAACACAGAGCGCTTTCCTCATGTTTCAGTTTGGTTTAGTGACACCAAAAGGGAAGCATCAGAATGTTCTTTACATATAATCATGTGAAACGCTTTTTTAAGGTGTCATCCACATCCTTAAAATTGAACAAAGATGAGTAACATATTTTACTGTTGACTTTTTCACATTTTTTCACTACAAACCCATAAACCTTGGTGTATTTTTAGATATTATATGCAATATAATTTACAACCAGACTGACCTTGATATGTCTCTACCTTAGCATAGCTGCTAGATACATACCACAAAAGATTTGCGGCTATAATAAAAGAATAGATAGTTCAAATAAGCACTGACACAGGCTGGAGCTAAGGACAAATGCATACAATATTTCAACAACTGCTATTTAGAAAAAAAATAAAAAGGTGCAAACAAATTAATTACACTTACTTGAGCTTTTTTTCATTAATTTATTATTTAATGCCCTTTGAGAAATAGTTGTTTTATACAGTATTTTTTTTTTTACTTTTACTCAAGTAATATTCTTTTGAGAGTATTGCTACTATGACTGCAGTGAAAATTCTCATTACTCTACCCACCATGAGTTACTTCAGCTATTCAAGATCAGGTGAAAAATACAGTAGACAGTGGCCAATGTAGCTGAAAGCTCTTTAAGGTCTCCTGATATAATGCATTGCAGAATGTAAGAATTGTCTTTAGAAGTTTATGCTAAGAATTGTGTTATTCTCCCCAAATGTGTTATTATATATTAATATTTAGTTGCATTTTGCACTTATTTCTCTTTCTGATAAAATAATTTTAAACATTAAATATGATTTTTAGAGCCAACAATTACTCAATACTTGAGCAGCCATTTTACCAAGTAATTCCTCTGATAACTACTTTCGACTTCAACTTCTGTAAAAAGCTGTTAAGTTAGTGCTATTCTACCTTGAGTAAAATTTGTGGTTATTTTACCCACCTTTGCATTTACCTAACTCGTTAACATTGCTTGTTGTTGGTGTGCAACGTAAATTAGTAAGTAAAATAAATCTTATTTGTAGGGATTACCAGACATAATGTGAAAAAATATTTTTTGTTATATCCAGTGCAAGGCACAGGTTAGTGCATCAAATCAAAGTTTTACAGGAATTGGTAACTTGTTAATGAATTATTACTTAGAAACTGAACTCAGTTTTTGAGTCACATAGATTTACCATTATAGATCTGCCAGAAGAGGTGTTCATGCTGCTGAAATGCCTGCATCAGGATCCTAATGAAGTTCAGCAATTTCAGTAGTTTACAGAGTCCCTTCTGGCTGAGGGTGCTGCACTTTTTCTCTTCCTCAAAGATACACTTGGTGCAACCAATCATTGCATGGGTCTGCATGAACGGAAAGATACATGTGTTAATATTTCAGTTACATGGACGTAATTGAATAAATTTGATTCAATTGAAAATACTTCTAAATCTTCTAAAGGGAAATTAAATGTTGTTTAAACAAGCTGTAGATGCTGATAGCTGTAGGTGGGAAGGATCACCTGTCATGGTCCATGTTACACTGGATAATAATAACACAACTTTTTTATAGGCGACTCTCTGGACACTCAATGTCACCAAACATTGGTTAAAAACAACACAACACATTATGTTATTGATATGAGAGTGAAAGGATAAAGTACTGCCGAGGACGACACCCAGACTCTTAACCTGTGGGGAGCATGAGACAAGCTGTCAGTGCTAATTTAGAAACTGCTAGTTTTTGACAGTGTTGATTTAGAACCATTGAGGAGAACATCAGATTTGTCATTGTTTAGTTTGAGAAAATTGGAATACAACCAGGATTTTATTTCTCTTAGACAGTCAGCAGGAGGTGGTTTTACTGGAGAGGAAGAGCTGGGTATTGTCAGCATATTATATTCTGCTTAAGGAAGATATTGCCAGAGGAAGAAGGTATATAATGAAAAGGAGGAGCCCCAAGACAGAGCCCTAGGGCACACCTGAATGATGGAAGAAGCCTGGGATGAGAAGAATTTAAGTTGGATGAACTAACTGCGGCCTGAGAGATAGGATCTTAACCAGAAGGGTAGTGTGGGTGATTCTGATAGAAAATAATCTATTGTTGGTGATTTCTATGAGTGCAGTTTCTGTGCTGTGGACAAAAAACAGACTGGAAGTGTTCGTAAAGATTATTAAGCGATATTGAAATGAAGTTGAGTAGCTACTATTTTCTCCAGGATTTTGGAAATGAAGGGAAGATTAGAACAGAGAAGAAAGTTGATAAAATTGGAAGGAATGGGACCAGGTTTTTTTTTAGGATTGGGGTTCTGTCAGCAGTTTTGAATGATATAGGAACTGTAACAGTGCTGAGCAAGGAGCGGGTGATGGGAGAAAGGAGGGAGGCCAATGAGGGGAGGCAGGATTTAACCAGAACTGTACGGGGGTCCAGCTGACATGTGGTGGGCTTGGATTTATGAATGATGTCAGGGATTTCTGAGAGGGTGGGGAGCTTGAAGGAAATGAGTCGTAGCAGATTGATACCATAGAATTCAAATTGAACAGTAAATGTATGTATCAGTCTGGTTTATGCCAGGTTACCATTTTCTATGTTTTTGGTAAAGACAAAATAGATAAATCTTCAACTCATATGACAACTACAAAACTCTGCTTGTCACTTTTGTGTCGCTATGTCAGTTTGTCGCTGTCATTCAGAAGGAAGACCCCCATCCCCTCCCACCCCAACCACAGGAGCACCTTCCAATTATATCTTGGTAGAATTAAGGCTCTGGAACAAGGTTACGTGTACTTAATGCCATTCCTCCTAAATTGCTACTCCAAAAAAGACAGAAGAGGAGAGGCAGAAGAGACCTAAGGTTCCTTAAGAAGTATAGTCTGTTTCATTCTTTGATTAGAACCAAAACTAGGCAGAAGGTCCTCCAAAATATTGAAACGATCTATTGGGTCAGGCTATGGATGAAGAGGTGCTGTAGAGGCCTTCAAGGCTCTAGAGCAGGCAGCATCTGGACCTGGAGCCTTTAAAGTTATCTCTTTACCTGACATCTAGAGACAGACAGGTTGAAAGGTAGACAAAAGGTGCAATACCATCTTTTCATTGGGTTTTGAACAAACCCATAGATGCAGGAGGGAAGTGAAGTTCTTCTGAAAGAATACATTAAACTGGCAGAGCTACTACAACATGCATCTATCTTAAGCCTCTTAGAAAAAAGCAAATGCAAAGCATGTAATTTATGTACATTTATACACAATTTTGCTTTAAATTTTCAATACATTTCTCTTTTTTTCAAAAGGGTTCACAGTAGGCAGCTTGCCTTCATAGTAAATGTGCGTTGCTCCAGACCAAATCCTTCTGGGAAGTAGCAGGCATTGAAGTGGTCCACATCTGTAATGTCAGTTATTTGCACCGAACTAAACTGCAGCAGGTACAGACTGTAGCCCTGCCACAGAGCCAGCTGGTAGAGCTAGAAATACAGAAAAGGAATCAAATGTGAAGTAAGATAAAAAAAAAAAGTCAAAAAATATCAGATGATTTCTCAGCCTCAGATAGTTTCAGTAGACAGTGTTATAATTTATATAGGTAAAACCTTCTATAAGCATAAACATATTACACTCTTTATAATGACTGAAAAATATATGAATTAATGATGGTGTGAAACAATAGCAGGGCTTTGTCATAAGGTACCTTGAGCCCACAAAGAATATCTGCAACTTGCAACATCTGCTCCTGGTAAAACTCGTCTGGTAGTCGGTGTTTGTACTTTTTCTGTATATCCAAGAGCATTTTTAGCCTATAAAAATGAAAAAAGAGAGACTTTATGTTTGAAAATCTTACTAGCTACGTATATGAATAAACATAATAAAAATTATTTTGTCTCCTTTGCTATTAGTGAGCGTATCACTTCATTGTTAGAAACTTCTCAGGGTAAAGGCTTAGCTAACGTTTACCACTTACCCTTTAACACACACGCTATGGTCGCGGCTGGAGTCCATTTGTTTCATGAGCGTCAAAAATGATTCAATTTCTCGTCTAAAGCCTACAAGAACAGGATTTTTCCCGTCGAGCTGGCCGTAATATGTCGCTGGTAAGTCCATTTCTACAAAGCAAGTAAAGCGGACTAAAAAACTGGCTACATGTTTTAGAAGGTCACCATGGTAACGATGAGGGGCAGTTAAAGTGACATTTCACCAACTGCGATCCTTTAACGTTACATTTAAAACGTTTAACCCTTTTAACGACTGCTGAAAATAAAATATAATATAAACATAATTTTGAAAAGAATTATTTTAAACAAAGGTTGAATTGATAAAAATATAATAATAATATTATATTTGGGATTATATATATATATATATATATATATATATATATATATATATATATATATATATATATATATATATATATATATATATATATATATATATATATATATATATATATATATATATATATATATATATATATATATATATATATGCTTAGTTTATTCAGTTTAGGTTTAAATATTTTACCGTATGTCCTGGACCGAGATGTCTGATGTATTTCCAGGGATCTGCTGTAACCAATCCTCCAGTTTGGGGGTCACTGCCCCGAGGGCCCTATTGATGCCCTGACCTTCCAGGTTTTCTCCAGCTCTTTGCTGAGCACCTGGTGTTTCTCTAGTTTCTAATGTTCTTTTTTCCTGATGTTGCACTCACTTGGTATTGCTATATCTATCTATCTCTCTATCTCTCTATCTCTCTATCTCTCTATCTATCTATCTATCTATCTATCTATCTATCTATCTATCTATCTATCTATCTATCTATCTATCTATCTATCTATTTATCTATCTATCTATCTATCTATCTATCTATCTAATCTCTCTCTATCTCTCTCTATCTCTCTCTCTCTCTCTCTATATATCTCTATATATATATATATATATATATATATATATATATATATATATATATATATATATATATATATATATATATATATATATATATATATATATATATATGCCTATGGATGACCAGGAGAGTCAATGAAAAAGAAAAACAGCCATTTCAAATGTAACATTTCAAACATACTATTACAAAATCCAGCGTTTCAAATTAATTAAGTTAAACAGAACTTTAATAAGGAGTTTTAAACTGTATTCATGAATCCATTATTAAGTGCTGCAATTAAATTTTTTAATCCTATTTACAAATGGAGATTTAAAAGCCACAATTCATAAATTCTTTAAGAAAGTAATCCTCTCTAATAAGTAATTCCTTGTACCATTACCATTTTCTTTTTTCACCGCTTTCAAGTCCGTTGTATTTTCTTTTTATTTTACCCTCTCCATTTACCTTTTCTGTGACCCTTCTGGTCCCTGAACACACTGAAAACCAATTAATCCAATCACAGTTGATCGTCAGATGTAGCCAGCTCCCTCATTGGTCACTTTGTGAACCTAGTATGGCAGTCAAACCAGTCTAAACCAGAGGTCTCCAACCCTGGTCCTCAAGATCTACTGCCCTGTAGGTTTTAGATGCACCCATGCTCTAAAACAGCGGAATTAAAGGAATATGTTGTTACCCCTGGTATAAACGATTAACTATTGCCCTTTCATAAATTTTTTTTGCTTGTTTTTTGTTTTAATCCTTCTTTTTTTGGTGCGCTCATGAAAAAACAAACAAAAAAAGGCTTAATTTAGTCTGGAATCACCACTGTCTTAAATTTGGCATGTCAGATTAGACTGAATGAAACTGACGACTGATTTAAGACATTTAGATTTAAAATTTATCAGCAACATTAAAATTGTTGAACTGTTGCTTATTTGATTATTATTTTTCCCCCATTAATAAATATATTTATAATTTGAAAAATACTGTTTGTGGTTGTCAATGTTTGAAATTATTATAACTTTTTCATGATCTAAAACATTTAATTAAGGAAAGAAAATAGATAAAAGCTGTAAGAGGTCAAATACCCCTCAATTGGCACAACCAATGGGAAAGGATTCATCATTTTAATCTGAGCTCATGGAAAAATGATACGCAGATAAAGTCTCATCTAATGCTGTCCAATACGTACTCATCAGTTCCCATTCAACCCTACATTCAGTCCACACACAGATCTAAGCTTCTGGCACATGGAGCACCACAGGCTAATACTCTGTAAGCTATTCACCAAACAAAGTCTCACACATCGAGCAGTGGTATTTCCTGGGTCAAAAGCTTGGAGCTATCAGCAATATTTCTCGGTCAGTGTCCCCTCATGATGGAGAGAGAAAAACATGGTGCCAGGGTGAGAGGGAGAGACAACAGTCTGACAGGAAACAGTCAGGGCGATGGAGGGACAAAACAGTTGACATCATTGTTCTAGAAAAATCCGCCTGTTGGCACAGTTTGGCTGCCAGTGTTGGCATAAGAGGTTAGAGAGGAGTGGGTGAGTTCGGAGGAAAGGCCTATAAAGGGAGTTTAGGGCTGCTCAGCTGCACCCAACTTAAGTCAAACAGACCAGCCTTTTCTGACTCCAACCATGGATATTCCCATTCAGTACTCTTGGTACCGGCGCGCCTTCCCAAGCCGGTTTACGGAGCTCTCTTTGGCAGAATCTCTCGCTGACTTTCCACTGATGGGACCCTTCTCCTGGAACTTCCCCTGGATGAGGCCTTCATTCATGCGCTGGTTAAACTGGCCAGAAAATGGACACAGTGAGGTAGAGTCCTGTTTAGTTAGCCATTCAGTGGTACTAAGTTGATTAATTTGACTTACTTAACGTATTTAACTTTAATTTTCCCAATGATGTTTGTGAAATTCCTTGTTTAAGTTGCTGTCGTAGGTGTTTGACATGAGAATGCATTCACATAAAAAACAGCTGCTTCTAATAAATGTCTGCACAGATGCGAATGGAAAAGGACCGCTTTGTTATTTATCTGGACATGAAGCATTTCGCCCCTGAAGAGTTGTCAGTTAATGTCAGCGACGAGTTCATCACAGTGCTCGCCAAACACGAGAACAGACAGGTCAGCAGAGCTTGGAGATCTGAAGAAACTGCAAGCTGCAGCTTTTCTAACTGACTAATTCTACTTTCAGGATGATCTCGGCTTTGTGTCCAGAGAGTTCCTGAGGAAGTACGGGGTCCCATCTGGAGTGTTAGTGGCTGACATCACCTCCAATCTGTCGTCTGATGGCGTGCTGACAATTACGGTGCCCCGGTCAGCCCCAGGAGCAGACCGCAGCATTCCCATCTCCTTTGAGGACGGCACACAGAAACAAAAAATGTAGAGCAAAATGATTGCCCTAAAAGTAAAAAAAAGTACTAACTTACTAAGATTTGTTTAAGTGTTGGCATTTCAGTTCTCTTAGTAGAATAGGGAATTTAAATAGATCCCTAGCCTGCTAATTGACATTTCACTTAAGTTTAACCGGCTGATGTTAAGGTAAAAAGGAATCCATTTTCTTATCATATTCCTTTCTGGAAAACATGTAATTTATCTAGATTTTACCGAAAACATTTATGGAGATTAAACTCTAACCATTGGAAAGCCAGTCTGCTCAGTTAGGTGCAGGGGGAGTTAAGACAGCTTTAAAATCTCAAGTCTGAGGCTAACATCGTTAGTTTTTATACTGAAATGCCAACGGTGCTGTGTTTTCAATGTGACAATGGCTCGGTTTCTGTAAGAGGTGAGGAGCAGCATCAGTAGAAGCACTTGATTGTTTTTTTTGCTTCATTTATAAATCTACAGAAGGAATTAGGGACATGTTTGTGCCTAGTTGAAAGGACAGATGAAAAATGAGCAGTGAGGAGTAGGTTTCAGAGAATGAACAGAGGAGGGGATTTTATTTTCAGATATCTTGTCTATATGTACTGTATGGAACAGTGAGTTTATTTTTACTTGTAAACTCAACCTACTTGCGTTAGTATTAAACTGGCTTGGACCACTGGCATATTAACACAGAAAACACTATTTAGAATAAATATTGAAAGTCAAACTTGTGTTGTTTTGGATTTTTTTTGTCCCCTTATCCTGTTGAAATTATAACTTCATCCAATGTTGGAGACCGAAGAGTCAAACTGTTTTCACTTTTCTGACAAATATTAAGTCATTTATAAAATAATAAACCTTTTTATTGTTATCATGTTAACTCCTAAATGATTTGGTCAGATGTCAGCCACTTAAATTAACCTTGTCTTGGAAAATTATAAAAGACCCAGGAGGCCTAGACACAATCTTGAACTGATTAAGAAAAACAAAACAAGTATGTTGATATTAAACAGCTTCTTTACGATCTAGGTTTCACTAGTTCATTGCAATGAATGATAAACAAAACTAAACAGATGAATGAATTAGAAATTGTAACAAGTCAATTTAAGATAAGGATGCAGAATGACAAGATGATTGCAATTCACATTTATCTATTTAATTTCGATAGAAAAGTATTGCTCAAGAAAGTTAATCAATGAGAGAAGAGCTGTGAGGAAGAAAATAACTGGAATTCAGGGATCAGTAGTCTATATACTTTATACATCTACCTAAAAAACTACCATAATACTAGCTTTTATTCCAACCCTACAAGTTATTATTTGATTCATGTTTTTTTTAGATGCAGAATGGAGTTTACATGGATTTGACGTTACAAAAACAAGTCCCTCATTTGTGACGGTGGCCGTGGATTTTTGAAAGTGTGTGTTGAGTCAGCATCAGTTGCAGTAGAAGTCCCAGTTCTGGAAAAAAATAAATAAAGAAGTTACATTAAAAGAAGGTCTCAGCTAATAAATACGCTTATTTGTGTATATGCAGAGAAATGTTGGTTTACTCACAGTAGTTTTAACCTCAGTGGTAGCTGGCATGATGGCATATGTTTCCTCCACCACGCTGCTGGGGAAGTGACCAATGCGAGCCTCCTGTTCTCCATAATACGTGTTTTGTACCTGCAGTAACATAACTTGATAAGTGCTTCTGAAATGTTTCATTACACACTTAGACTTAGACAACTTTTATTGTCATTTTGTATTCACAGAGTGCATATAAAACGAAATTTCATTTTGTACAACTCTCATGATATTTCCATTTCTAAAAGTGCAGCAGTGATCAAATGTAAACAGTGTGGCAGAAAAAAAACATGGTGCAAAAAAAAGAAAAGAAAAAGCGCATTGATTTG